TTTGTCAAACTACTATAAAATCATTGGTCTCCTTTATTTTATCCTTGAACACAACACATCGTGACAGATATGTGGAAATCTATTATGAAGGGAGCTGTGATGTTAGACAAATGGTAGCATGGAGTTTGGTGTCAAGTAATCTATAACAAAAAGTAATTCTCAAAAAGTACACGCTATTCCCAACATTGAATCAACTCCGCTTCTCCAGAACCAGCTGACATTCTCAGGGACCCAAGTATTATGTATACAATATTTAATTATATTGTGTAGTAAGTTTTACACCCTGTAAATACATAGTTATAGTTGCATACTTAAGAGTTATTTAGGCCAACTAGTCGAGCAGGCTCGTCACACTGCCTTGACTATGGTATTTTATAGTGCTTAATTCAGACACGAATGTCACATTACACTTGACACATTTAGCTCTGAAATTGTTATTTCTTAGATTGTCAAAAAAAAAAACAGTAGTCGTTGTATCTCGGTAATTTTCTTTATTTTTCTACCAGAGGAAAAGAAGAGAACAACAAAAAGATGACTCATTTGCAGTAAGTACAAAAAAGTAGCTGGTAATTATATATTTTTCTAATTATCATATCAAAAATTAAGTATTTACAATACTATACATAAAAGACTATTGCTGCACAATCCGCATTCGACAACAAAAGCCGATAGAATGTGTACTCTATTGTATACATGATGTAAATAATATGTGATATTTAAAGATTCAAGTTTTGCAAAATCCCTAATGAGATAATATTATTAGATCATTAGACATTTTTTTGATATAATAAAAATGTTTGTACATTATTAGAATGTTAGTTAGGGGTAGTTCAAAAAAAAATTTTGATTTTTTTTATGATGACTTTACTAGATTAAAATGTCTTATTAATTTGTATCTTAGTTTGTAGTTCACTTGTTTGTGTATTTTGGACGTAAATTTAAACATATTTATTATTATTTATTATTAGATTGAAATAGTTAGTACTCAACAATTAGTCTCTAATGAATAAGAACCATCCTACTGCCTACACTTTCAAAACCAACTCCTGTTAATACTTAAATTTTAAATGAAATTAAAGTAATTTAATAACGATAAAATACGGTCATTTATTTTCAATTCACTCTTTAAAAATATCTTATTAAAGTACAAACAAGTATAAAGTAAAACAAAAATCTGACCTGACAATCAAAGGAACCCAAGTTGTATCTGCGCTTCGGTAATAGGTTAAGCTGGTTTCAAGAGTCCAATTCATCGCTTTGACCAAGTTTTTAAGCAAATAGCATGTCTAAAATAGCAGAGAAATAAAAATAATAATTTTTTTTAAATATCATACACGACAGCAAACTAAGCAAACAGTCCGCTTATATAACGAATATTTACTAAGGTAATAAATATGAATTGAGAAAAAACATAGCAACAAGAAATTATATATACAAAAAAAAAAAACAATCCTGTACTCAAAATCTGCGAATATTTGATTTTTGGGATTTTTAAAGATAAGCACAGTTTGTTAATAGGCGTTTTAGAAATTATTATGATTCTTATAAATAATTTAAGCACTTTAATAAAACCCGAAACTAAGTAGAAACAGAAATATTACATAAATAACACTAAATTGAGATTGTTGAAATTCGTGTTATTAGGATTTTGATGTTAACTCAATAAAAAAAAATAAACGTTGATTAAAGATTTTTTTATTTTCGCTAAGTACATAAAATGTAAATAATTTGAGTCTAATAATCAAATAGTGTATGATTACCTCGATTTCCTGATTCAATTATAATTGTTAATAATAATAAAAAATAGGATTAAAATTACATTACTTGTGTGTATTTCCATCGTTTCTGCATAATTATTCGAGGTTATTGGCTTTAATATCTTTCGCTAAGGTAGTAAGACAAATTTAATTATACAATTAAAACTAAATATGATTAATTTTAGGAATCAAACAAAATGAGCTTACTGTAACTCAATATAATGAACAAAATGTGTTAAACCACAAATTTCACATAGAGCTACCGATTACAATATATAAAAAAGTCAAGGAGATTTTAGGAATAATTGCATGGAGGAGTAAAAAAAAATATATACAAATTTGTATCGACGATTTTTATTGTAGTTAAAATTGTTTAATTATACTATTTGTTTTGTAGGTACCTTCAATTTAATTAAAAATTTAAAAATGCATTCACAACAAACTGAACCGTCAGGGAAAAAACTGGGCAAGGTGTGCTTAGGCTTTTTCTAGTTTTCAAAATTTTTCTAATTTAATTTTTAACCACGGTAATTACTCAAAAAAAAAAAAAAAAATGTTGACTAGTTTTTTTACTTGCTTGATTTTTAAGGAAAGTTATCAACGTCAATTTGTTCTTGTTAGCTAACTTTCAGAGCTTGTTGTGAATAGGAAACAACAAAAATGCTACACACTAACAGTGAGAAGATATTTTCCTTAGCTTTAATATACAAGTGGTTTGGATTTCATACCCACGCGGTGTATAATTTTAAATTAAAAAAAAAGACTGTGTGTTATGTCTTGTAAACGATTAATTATCAATTTTCACTTAAACTATAAGAGACAGACAGTCGTTAGAAAGAGCTAAAAAAGTATTTTACAATTATTAAAAAAGTTGTTAATTTTCTTTAGCCATTCAGATCTCAGAAACCGATGACCGGATTTTGTTATTTGGGGTTTTATCATGTAGAACTGGTGTACTGGAGTTTCAGAATTATATCAGTGCATTCACTACAGAGCTTTAAAAATGTCATAAAAAACACCCCCCTCCTCCCTAAATGTTCTTATTGTTTGAATAAAAAGAGATATTTAATATTGTATAATTGTTCAAAAATTAAAATATTGTCATATCATTAATATTAGTCATTCAATCGTTATGTCAATATTATAGGAAATTCTACTTATAGCTAATATAGGATCTATATATATAGTTGGTTAAAAACATAAACTACCTATTTTAATGAATTTTAATAATTCACTTTATCCCACCTAAATTAGCTTTCAGACCACTGTGTGTTTAACAGGTTACCTAAAAAATGTCAGCTTATTAAAAAGAATTGTTACACAAATAAACCCTTAAACATATTCAAGCAGTAGCAGTAAATTACAATCTAATTTCCATTTTTAATAACTCATTTAGTTTTTTTTTTTTTAATTAAAGTTACTTACTTGATCGCCGTGTCATCGCATCCATAGGACTGGCCATTGAAGTCTCTTGAACTTACACACACACACAATTACATAGGTATATATATTTATTAAATGATAATATGTTTTACCAAAAGTGTAGTATAAACAAAATCATCATAAACAATTTCGCTGTATAAACGTCCATGTTGTCAAGCGGAATAAAATTCATTTTATAGCAAACATTTTTGTTTTCGGCCGTGTATTTTATTAACTAGCTCAATCAATGCATAAGTTTAATTGGGTATTCAAAAGTAGGTTAACGTTGGAAAAATTCTTTACAAATTTGTTTTTAAAAAATGTATTATAATTATTGGCAATTAATATTTTTGTTCTCAAAAGCAAACTGCTTTCTGTGTGGAGATCTCTTTTAGAAAAATCAAATATCTTAACCCTTCAGTGCCCAAAAGTTTTAAAATTTTAATTTATAGTCACTAAAACACGGGGAATTCGTGGAAAATAAGTAAAAAAATCTAAACATAAATCTTTTTTGATTAATTTTAAGTTTATAACATGTAGCGTATGTGCAACAATGGGCCATAAAACATCAATGAAATAGTTCTTTGTCGTTGAGTATTTGATGACTCATATTGTTGCCTTCTTGTCCACTGTAGCAAAATATATGCAACATGATTAAGATTTAGTATAATTTATAAAAAAAAAAAATACATAAAAACCATGGTTATCTATTTAAATAGAATCTATAAACATCGGTTATTAGCCGAATCACTGTGGTGTTAATAACAACTAGCAGATGGTTTAGTTCTTAAATAAATAGAGAGCGCCACCTAATTCAAATACATTATATAATAAGACAAAATATAATAATGTTTTAAGCGTGTTGCATATCTGCCACAATGGACCACTGAAGGGTTAATACGTTTTTTAATCAGTTTAACATTTAACACTTTGAACACACTGAACAATAAAATATATACTTACCGTTATCAACTCGGCCAAAAGCTTTTGATGTTTTTTCCACATAAAACATTTTTATAAGCAGAGTTTTTAATTAATATATAAAAATATTAGAGGGTTTTTATTTTAAAAAGGAGAAGAGAGTGCCAATACCCTGTATTGATCTTGGCACTTGTGTGTGCGTATACTTAATTATTTGTACCTATTACTCATATTATTATTATTTAAGCGACTTGTACTTGCTTAGTAACATATTTTTACACTTCATCACTTTAGTATTGTCTAATTATTAACATATTAGTGTAATTATACCTTAAGTAACACCGTGTAGTGTGTTCAATCTGTTCTGAGCTTTTACAGTGTACCTACTATTGGACCAAATCTACTTTTACGGTTCTTTGTGTTTGCAAACAGTATTATCTTTAATCATACTGTACGAGATTATATAATATTAAATATCCTTTGGCCCCTTTAAAATAATTATCCGCCTACGATTCTTAATAATCTTATTTTCGGTTTGCCGTAATCAATAACAAAGACGGAAAACGTTATCAACGACCGGCCGGCCGGCCGTAATCGTCAAATAATAAATTATTTCATATAAAATATTGTTAAATATTTTTTTTTTTCAACACCACGCTCGTTTTGTTTGTAAGTACATTGCCTCTCACGCGAAAAAAAAAGAAAAGAAATAAGAAATCAATAGCCGGCAAGCATTTATTATGAGACCGAAATCGGCGGCACCTCGCGCTGCGGGCCGCGGGGGATGCGGCTAAAAACGGCCGGGCGTGGACCCCGACGCCTACCGGCGCGCTCTGGGTGGAGGTTGCCGCAGCCGTGCGCCTGCCCCACGGATCCCCAAGACGGGGATTATCCGCCAAAGGGTCTCTCGCCACGGCCTCTTCACCCGGTCTTATCTACGCCGTCGTCGTCTGGGACGATCAATAACCGTTTTGCAACTCAGTACGCTTGTCTGATGTCTATTGTTACGAAAATCGCTGCCTGCCTGCCGGACGGACGGAGAATATCAGACGTTATCGGTTGATGTTTAATAACAACCGGCCGAGTAAGTATTATTGTACTTATACTTATGCCGACGACCGCCTAAACGAACATATTTTCTATTTTGTACTTTGTAGGAGGTGTATTTGTGTTCGAGTCACGACCGGGCGGCTGTTGACGACCCAACCCGTCGCTAGCAAAGAGAGATCCGGCAAAACCGCAGTTTACGATGACCGACTACGTAGTAGCGTGCATGCCGCCGGTGACCGAATGTACCGAATTCATCAAAGGTGATCCAGAACGATTGCATAGCGCCCCCTGATACAATTTAAATCAACACTATAGTTTAACAATAAAAATATATTACGTTTGTCCGTACAGATCGGCTGTACTTTGCTACGTTGGCGGTGAGCTTACACAAAAAGTCACCGTTGCTGCCGACTGTTCCTTGGGGCGACGACGCCAATGTGGCGTATCTCAACTTTGACGATACGTTCATCTACGACCATTTCTACAAAGATTTCGGACCGTTGAACTTGGCCATGGTGTATCGCTATTGCGTTATCGTTCGTGATAAACTAAAAGTCTGTATCTTGGAAAATCAGTTATTTTAACTAAAACACTACGATATAATATAAAGTTTTATATATATATATATTTATCTATGTTTGATTAGCAACAAAAACCAGTAGTACACTGGGCCAGCGAATCCAATCCTAAGAAAAGGTCCAACGCAGCAGTGTTAATTTGCGCTTATATGGTAAGCGGAGTACAATTATTGAAATATTTACTGTACGATTGTCTCAAAAACAAATGTCTGTTTTTTCTTATCGTTATTGACTATTTTGTTTTTCTATCACATGTTTGTAGATCATTGAACACAATTGGACAGCTCATCAGGCGTATATGACTTTGTCGCAAAACTGTGCGTTGCAATTCATGGAATTCAGGTATATATAGTAATACATAATCAAATTAATACACATAACTCAAATAAATATTTACTGACCATAACAATGATTTTGATACATTTCTTTACAATTATTAAATTACTTATCAACTTTTTTTACAGAGATGCCTCGTACACGAATGAAGTATTATATGGTTTAACAGTCGAAGATTGTGTTAACGCGCTGTTTAAGGCAAAATGGTTTGGATTTTTTAACTTTGACGATTTCGACTTGGACGAATATGAAAAATACGAGGTTAGGTCCAAAGTCAGAGTTTTGACTCTTTTATTACTAAAAATGTATTCGATTACAGGCGACCAACGACGGCGACTTCAATTGGATTCTACCCGGTACAATGTTAGCATTTTCGTCTCCACATGCTCGGGAACACGTTGACAAATGTAATTGCTTTGTCGTCAGTTAATATTTCACTATGTTAACAACACTACCTGTTTTTTGTCGATTGGTGTTTTTTTTTTTGTTTTTTAGCCGGCCACCACCAGCATTCTCCGGCTTATTATTACAAGTACTTCATACAAAACAACGTCAAGCACGTCATCAGATTGAACAGCAAAAGAGTGTACAATGCCAAACGTACTTTCGTGGCGACTGGTCACATCGACCACACGGACTTGATTTTTCCTGACGGCACGTCGCCAACGGATCTTATTGTTTTGCGGTTTTTGTGTCTTTGCGAAGACTTCTTGGATGATTTTTCCACCAAAGATGGTATGGACCAACAAGGTACGACGAGTCAATCTCCAACATCGGAAAGTTTGGTAGAAAACAACGTATCCAGATCCACTAAAGGTGCCGTGGCCGTACACTGTAAAGGTAACTGATAACAGTACTTCACTTTAAGAATATGATTGATTAATTATAATTTTTTTTACTTCCAACCAGCCGGCTTGGGAAGAACGGGCTGCCTAATAGCTTGTTACATTATGAAACATTGGTCGTTCACAGCCGAAGAAGCTATAGCTTGGATACGAATATGTCGGCCTGGTTCCGTAACTGACCCCCAACATGAATGGCTAATCCTGTGAGTGATGATATTTTTATCAAGGGCACACCCATTGTTAATCATGTTTTATCCTTGTAGAAAACAAAATTACCTAAGGAATATGGGAAAACTGTGGAGGCAGCGGATAACACATTCGTCGGGCAAATACAAACGGTTTGCGAATGGAGTGAACAGCATTAAACGACACGAGTCCACTTGCAATCCGTACACTTTTGTGGAACCTCCACCACTTTCTTCGATGAGCTCCGGTACGGATGAACCTGATGATGAACAAGCTAATCTCACCGCCGAATGTGACAACGTCAATGGTTCATCGGAAAGCGTTCAAGCCAACAAGGTACACGCGTGACACGTAACAATAATTGTGCACTCCGGACACATTATTAATTTTATTTTCCGTTCCAGATCGATGATCAATGCCCAAGTCTGACTTTGGTCCGAAAGAAAATGAAGATAAGCAAAGCCGACAGCGACTTATTGAATTTGAATCACTTTCAAGTGACAATGTTTTCCAAAAACGACGACCCCAAACGTAAAGCGACCAATCAGGATGGTAACGTAACGAAGAAAACCCAAGTCACGCCTTCGATCGTAGTAACGTTGGCCAGGTGCAACTCGTCAAACGATTGCGATGCGGCAAACAAAGGGACAAACGTTGTGGTGTCCGGTAGAACTCATAACTGCTTCCCGAGGACGGCCGTGACGGCCCTAACTAACCCGACAAAGTCAGTCGAGACGTGCAAAACAGTTTTCCTTAATGACTAAGTTAACCCTCAATTTTGTTCTCAGTGTTTCGGACGACCAGAAAGAATCCTATGCGTATGCCGCTGTGGCGTCAACCGGTTTTGCCGAATAAAAAATCCACAGACATCTCGTGATCGAGTCGTTAGCATCGATTGATTGATAAGTTTTAAATTTTACAAATAAGTTTTAACACAAGTGTTATTTTATTCTAATAGAGAAAAAAATATTCTTCATAATTTAACGCGTCTGTTCAACCGATAGCACTTCACTAACGTACATTGGTTATTATTTTATATTTTGTTTTTATTAAACTTAAAATTACAACATTTTACGATTGTAACATAATTATTATATTTTTAACATAACAAACATTACAAATGGTATAATATACTTATATAATTATGTTTTTTATTACTCATAACGGGTTTTGTGTGCAAGTGTGTGTGTGTGTGTGTGATGATTTTTTGTTGTTATTATTATTAATTTTTCTATTATTACTATTGTTTAAAGCGTTATTGATGATGATTGTTTTTGTTTTACCGTTTAGTTTATTTAAATTAACGTTCGATCCGTCTGATTAGATTTTTTTTTATATCCAAAAAATTACCATTATTTGTTTAAGTTTTCAAGAGTTAAAATGCAATTATTATTTCTTTGCAGTGTTATGTTTTTAAAAATTATATAATATATTATTTTAAGTTTTACAACAAATTTTTTATGTCTTACATTACAGTGTTTGATATATTTTTTTTTTTTGTATAATTGACTAGGTAGTAAAAAAAAAAAAAATGTATACTCAGCATTTGATATATTTGTAATACGTACAATATTAACCTTTGACTATGTTATTATAACAAATTTTCTAGTCACTATTGCCAATTGAAATATTTGTTTTTCGTCAAATATAAATAATAAAACAATAAAATTATTAAGTCGTCAACAAAAGTCTATTTATCATGTATTTATACAAATATGTTCTAAAGGAAATAAATAAATATACTTTTTTTTTCTATTTTTTAATAGTAACCACAATGTGAGAAGAATTGGCGAGACAAACAATAATATTGATTATAAAAAAAAAAATCTAAATTCTAATATGTATAATAATAAAATAATATTTTAGAAAAACAATTAAAAGTCAAAATTCTACTAAACTAAATATATTAATATCAGCTAAAAAAAAAGGTCGAATACTATTACGATGAAAACATATTTAATAATTTATTATAATAAATATATATATTATAAATATATATTTTTTTTTTATATGCGACAAATCTATTATGCTAATATTTTTATAATTAAAAAAAAAATTAATAATAAAATAATTTTTACAACATGCATTATAAGTTTTGTGTAATTAAAGCGATAAAATTATCTAACCTAAACCGGATACCGAAAAGTCTATGTACATTGTACAATGTATTATAATATTATGACAACGCTAACATTGTCGTTAGTGTAGTATAATATACTGCAGTCACGCATTGACCCGCAACAAACGGCTCGATGCTGGCAATTTACAATTTAATTTAGTTTAAGTGTCGTATACTAATCGGAATTATCTTCGGAGTCATTGTTCTGCGTCAATACCCTGTTGAGAGCGGCAATATATTGTGGCGTACGATGATAGACATGATTCTTTTTGTGAAACAATTTTGGCCGCTTTCTCTTTTTCTGAAAACATAAACAAACATTAAGACATGGTCAACAAACTATACATTTATCACACCAAATATAATGATTTCTTTTCTTATGACAGACCTTGCGTTACTACCTAATTGTTTAATGACTGCTTGTTAAACTTTTAATTTAACCGTAGTTTTAAAACAAATATAGATTTTACAGTACTCGCTTGACGCATCAATCTATGTTCATTTTTAATTTTTAGTAAAAACAAATCAATTGAAATTTTTAAATAGAAATAATTAATTCACTGAAAAAAATGAAACAAAAATAGGGCTTTTAATAAAATATGAAAAACCTAACCTAACAGAATTATTCTAAAAAATCTAATAGTGTTAATCGCTTTACATTTTTGTTAAATTACTTCTCAACTTATTTTTTTATTTTTTTTTGTTACAAATTTTAAATATTTTTGTAGGTTTTTTTCTGTACAATATTATAAAATATTACAATTACAACATAATTTCCAGAATTTTTTGAGAAATTACAAAAATCTGTAGTCTAGCTTTACAATTGTGGAAAAAAGTTAAATCAAATATTTGGAAACACACTAATTATCTATAGAATGATTCATATTTGACATTTTCAATTGTTTATGGTTTTGGCATCAAAGCATTTGACGGAAAGTGTGATTTTTGCTTTAGATAATAGAAAATGTAATTTGAATTTTATAATTTATCACAACCGTTGAATAAAAATAAAATATTCTAACATCACAGATGTTTTAAAAATATATCTTTAACGTTGAATAAAATTGAATCAGTTAAAAAATAATTTTTTTTTTTAATTCAATACTTCTGTACGTAGTTACCTACTTTGTGTAAATTCTACACCGGTCAAGCTCAAATTTAATAAAAGTATCCACCATTGGAAATTGGAATCGATGCAAAAACAACGGAAAGTATTATTATTAATATTATTATTTTTCTTTTTTTTGTTAAAGTACTGTGTAAAAGATTACCGATATTAATATTATGTTTAGTTGGGATTCAGTTTTATTACTTCTTGTCAAGTTAAGTATTCTGGTCCTCTAGTCAGCGGTTCTGGTGCTTACCAATAATACAAGCATCTTTAATGGTTGTTCATTAGGCATTATGTGTTTAAGAAATAATTCACAAGTTTGTGCGATAAAATAAATAACGTCCCTGTGTTTTGTTTGTTTTATGCAAAATAAGTAAAATTTCTGAAGCACTTAAATTATTTATGATTGGTGTACAATTTCAGTTATTAGTCTATTTTAACTATTTCAATTGATAATGACATTATTATAATTATCGACCTAACAGAACATTTTTAAGTCAACGGTTTAATTTATAATTTTGGATATTACATAAACGAATATTTTAACTCCAATGCTTACAAAGATTTAAATTTGCTATCTAAAAAGAAAATATTAGAAATAGAACTCAAACGCATTTCTTCCAAAGGATTCATTTTTCTGGATTTTGTACTAAGTATAAACAATTTGTTGATTTTGCCACTTTAAGGAAAGAGTATGTAAAGTGCACTGAAGTATTCGACTTATTTGAGTAAACAACTTTGTTACAAGCATTTTAATATAGAGAAATAATTACTGAATCAGCTCAACTTTAAGGTTGGAAGTGTAGAAGATGATTATTTGGCCTCGCCAACAAGATCAAAACTGAATGTTGATAACATTAGGTGGATAATATATTTTAAGTCTGTGATTTATTTCACAACACTTTACATTTAACAAATGCTTTATGATGGCACTTGGGTTGGCTAATTTAAGTGCATCAACAGAGAGGTCTTTCTAAAGATGTTTAAAGCTAAATGCTAATATATTGATTTAATTTGTTTGATTATAGATTTGTTATGACAGGATTAAATTAAGTTAAAATGGTGTAATAAAATTGTCAGAAATTTTGCCCTAAATCATGCAAAATTGTAAAGAAATGAATAGCACTTTCGCTGTTATTGCAATACAGTGACTCTACCATTTACAGACAACAGAAACACTCACATTTGTTAACAAGTTGTCAAAAAACAGTTAAATAGAGATTATAAAATATTTACAATGATCAGTAGACACTCCTAAAGGCTAATTTAAAGGTAATTCCTATCAAAGAAGACTTATTACTTATTAAACAAGTATTATACGGTGGTGGGGCGAATATTGTTTGTTATAAATTCTCAATAATTAATTTTGGTGGTAAAAAGAAAGAAAAACATGATTCGGTAATAACAAGTGCGGTATTCACATTAACCCGTAAAATTGACCAAACGATAACAATACATTTTGACACGACCAATCGCATACGAAAACTTACCCTCTTCTTTTCACCGCGTTTTATCATAGGTGCAGGCGTGAGAACATCGGACGACAACTGTTCGGATTGTTCTAGAAATAACAATACGGGTTATACATTTTAGATACTTTTGGTCAACTTCATATTTTGAACTCACCGTCCACAACCATTCCATAGTGTAAAAGATTGAATTTGATGATATCGTATAGTTTCGTTATTCCGTTTTTCCTATAATAGACGAGTTCGTCGCGTCGTTTTTTCAACAAATATTCTTGTTGCAAACGAATGATCAACGACCACGATTCTATCTCCGATAAATTCCTACTAAACTTTTTTATTTGATTTTCGATCCCTTGCATGTTCCTAGAACAAAATAATTTTACGTTACTACTACTCCTACTACTACTAAGTGATGCGTTAAGCATACTGCACAGACAGTGTAAACTCACTTCTCCTCTATTGTTAACCTCCGTTTGGGTTTGTCCTTGGAACAAAAGTATTTGTCCATTAGTTGATAGTCGTGCACGACTTCTTTCGCCAATAAACGTTCGTACAATCGGGCACAGTACATATCGATACAGGCAAGATTATAATCTGAGAAAATAATTGCAAGTAAATTACATGATTTTGAAATAAAATGTTTGTATAATATTATTGATGTTTTAGAAATTGAAAATAAATACATTATTGTACTCCTTTGCAAAAAAAACAAGAGCGATATTGAACGTAACTCTCATGAACGGCACAATTTGTGCAACAAAAATTAAATACAAAGCTAACACATACAAAATAAAGTAAATAAGAAGAGAGAATATATATTTTTTAAATAGTATAACCAAAAAGTAACTAAAATACCAAAATTTACCTTGTTTATAACACCTTGAGCAAATGTTAATAAAGGTTACTAATAGCGGGATGATATTACAAAAGCTTGCTGATTTAGAAGAAACAATAATAATTTTAAAACTTTTTTCTTTATATTCACATTAATACTTTTGTTTATTTATATTTAGAGAGATTTTAGCTTATTCTAAGGCTATAAGTTATGCATGATACGACATAAACATTTCGTTCCAAGAACAATATTTTATACAGTTTCAAAAAGAAAAAGAAAGGTCAAAATCAGTTAACCTATCAGAATATTATTTATTATTATGTAGAAGTTATACAAATAATGGAGATTTTAGCTTGAAAAAAAATCTTTAATTCCCTGCATGAAAATATAAAAATGTTATGCCCTTTCTAAATAAAATAAAATTTAGATTGTTTCAATGCGAATATCTAAAAGAAACACCGTTAAACATAAGTTACATTTTTTCTATAAAAATAATAGTAATTTTATAGTTTTTAATTTTAACAAGGCTATAAAATGTCTTATCATTTGCCATTATTTTTAGTATTTTCTAAAGCGCTATTAACTTAAAAACGTTTAATTGAAATTTATGAATGATATGCTGAACATTTTAACTCAGTAAGCGGATAAACATTTTTTTAAGCTCTGAAAGATTCAAAAAAATGTACTTGTACTAATTTTACATAATATATTTTTTAATTTTTACCAGTTAGATAGTTGATAGGTTTTTTATCACTACCTTGAGAAATAAAAATAAAAATATTATCTTTGAATACTACCTTGAGTTTTGGTAATGACTCAAAGAGCGATAATAGCAACTGTATTACTAAAACAGTGACAAAAAGTGAGAAAAGTGATAGAGTTGTAGCCTTGTTTTCGTTAAACACCATAAATTGATTTACGAAAGAAAAGAAAAATTACCATCTCCAAGGTCGTTCCATTCGGATGTAATGCTAAGGACGGCCTCAGCATTGTTGTCGAAATCGTTTTCCTATAAAAAAAAAAGGTTTTAATACAATTTAAAAACAGTTACTGTACACTATGGAACTGTAAGACGTTTTTCCATACCAATTCAAATTCGTCTCTTATAGGATTGTATCCGATTTCGGCGTATTGAGCTTTAGAGAGCGCAGACAAATGAGTGACAGTTTGATTGACTTTGAAGTGGACAGTACGATCTTCCAATTTGGGTTTGTTTATCGTGTTCCACGTCTGCCGTCCAATGGGACCGTCCAAAAACTGTTTGGCAAACTGCATTTTAATTTCTAAACAAAATGACAAAATTTAAACACGACAGCGTTAGAATTCTTGGCAAATTATAATGTATAAACAAACTATACCAGCTGGTGTACGGTTTACACTCTTTGGTAACTCATCCCAACATCCGAGCGAATATTGTTCGGCGAAATCTAAAACTTGCAACAGTTCATCGCCGGTCCAACCATCGTTGGTCAGGAAGTACTGTCCAGCAGACTTTTGACTCTGTTTAAAAAATAGTCGACCAATATGTACATATTTTTACATAATCAAAACAATACATTTAACTATATAATTATTATTATTAAGCTTATACCTTTAGTTTGTATGAATGGCAATTTTTATGTTCTCCGATTTCCGCTCCATGACTAAAACACTGAAAAACAAAATCACATATTATATTACCAAATAGTAACGAGTATAATTTTTTAATTCGCACTGAATCGGTAAGATCACAAAATTTGTAAGTACTTTTTAAGTAATATTAGTAGTTCTGATCAACTGTCTAATTTTAAACTTATGACGAAACTATTTTATTTAACTTACCGCCATACACAATTGAAATAAGGAACATTCCAAACACACAACAGTCAAACTGTCAATGACATCTTGGCAATAAGTGCATGTGTTATCCATAGTAAGATGTACTGAAATCAGAACAAAAGATATAGCATCGAGTTAATAATTGACCATCTGCCAATAATTTTTATCCCCAATAACCAATTACAAAATCCCCCGTAAACGCTTTTTCAAGTTGAACTAAATTTTGAGTAATTTTTCCAAACTAAACAATTTTACAAAAAAAAAATAAGCCGAAAGCTGTCATTTAAAAACGAATTGGTCATTTGAGAAATGCCTTAAGTCACGAAATCTAAATTTGACAGCGTTCGGAAACACATATAGCGCTCTAAATCGAAGTAATTTACATTATTTGCAGAAATAATATTGGGACTAATGGTGTTTCTCTTGTGAACGTCAAATCCAAATCCCTATTTAGAACAGAAAAAAACGCCGTAACAAGAGGTGTTTCTCCATAAAATGTGTGTGTGGAATCGAAAACAACAAAAAAATGATTTTGACTAAAATGGTGACTTATGAGATTTCTCAACTATTGAATTTACTCCGAAATGCTCGTTTTATTTGCTCACAAACAAACGCTACAGGGAGAAATGCTACAACCCGACGGCGCAAGACTATGGCGAGGTAGCGGCGTGAACCTGCACGACTTAATCAGAACGTAGTATACAATGTATAGTTTTTATTCTAATTTACAACAACGAAACCCTAGAGTGATGTTTACGATATTTTGTACTATAAACATTGGACATGGCGTACGCCGAATAGGACAACTGTGGTATTTTTTTAACACATTACGATGGTATACACATCGGTGGCGACTACAATGACTTACAATGCAATGAAAATCAATTGTAATTAGTTATACTGTAAGTCATTGCCGAGGCTTACAAGTCTGTGAAAACCGCAGCCTCCGTTGTTGAACGCAAAATTTTACTTACCAATCAATCGATAATGACACGTTTCATTTTGATGCGTAAACGATACAAACAATAAGACATTTTTATTTTTCCGTCCAACAATTATTTCAAGACTTCGGTCTTCTTCTTCTTAATTTTTATCATAGAACAGCCAAAAACCGTTTGAGAAAATAACTACACTATGTTGTGATAACAAAACAAAACAACAAGCGTAGCTGCTGTGATTTCGTAGAATTTTTTGTTGCGGCGCCGACGACACTTCCCCCACGCGACAAACGTTACATTTCTTTTTTTTTTAAATATTATAATTTATAATGTTTTCATTTTTTATCGTGTAAAACACGAATTAAATATTATTTTTTACACGAGTCCGAAAACAATACCGATTTATTTAATATTATATACATGTTTTAATCGTGCGTTCGATTAGTATTATCACTTTCACGGTTTGCGGCCACAGTCGATATCTCCCAACGGACCAAAAAGTCACACACACACACACTAACAACAGTAAGCAAAATATTATTCTCACCTCTGTTTGACAAAATTCACAACCTTTTTAATTGTTTACAGTTTACACTAGGTAGGTAGGTAGGTACTTTTAACTTACCTAGAAATAGTATTTCCACCAGCTTGGCCACGTCGGTGAATATTATTTTATTTTGACCCTCCGACTAGAAAGGTTAAAAAAAAAACCAATCCCCGTTTCCCTGGCAATCTTACCGCGCCCCCTACGTTTTAACGCACAAGTGCGCCCGCCACGATTTCCGACCCTCGTTTTGCAGCAATCCCCTCAAAGCCTTGTGTTTATTTATATATATATAGAACAATTATATATATAAATGCGCATTTTCGGTCCCTAGCAACCGTGACAGTGCCTTGACAACAATGATTTACCACCCTCGCACTATCACGGCACAAACTGCGCACAGCCTGATTTAGACATTTTGAACCGAAAGGGGCGAAATATCATTGTAGGTCTCTCCTTCCGGTTAAAGTTAAATACAACACAAAAAAATGCCTCCCCAAAACAAACCTAATAAACCTGTTATTAGAGAAACCGCTTAAAATAACAGTGATTTTTTTTTTTTTCATAGAAAGAATAGCAGCACACGAAAATAATGTTAAGATTTTAACTTTACATAGCCAACCCATAACAGTATAGTTACCACATTTACATTTTTACCTCATACATAAAAAAATACACAAAGCATATTAAAAATCATCTGTGGGTTTTTTTTTGTATTTTTATTATCTTCTTGGCCTAATTTATGTATGTATTAAACTAGCTGTTGCTTCCAATAACTCTAGAAATCCTTCCTTGTTTTCCATCCCTCTATTCATAAGACAATCAATAGTATTTCCACCCCTTCGCTTCGTCTAACAACCCTTAACTTGGCATTGCATCTTTAAGTATACAAAAAATGTATACATAACTTTGCATGGCCAACCTAAACAGTACTATTGTTTTAATTACTCTTGATATTTAAAAATATTAGCCCTTGTCAAATTAAGGGTTAATGATATTTATAGAACAATGATATTTTTTCCCACAACTATAGTAACGTTATTAAGGAATGCCTTCTAGCGTTCTAACATGTATATAGTTTTTTAAACTGTATTCTCACTTATTGTTTTTTTTTTTTGTGAATATTTTACAAGTACAAAAATGTAGATTGCGGTTGTTACTTGGTAAAACTTTAGTGTGAAGTGTAGAGTGAAGCCCTTTTTTTTAATTTGAGGGCCATGCGCACTTGCCCAATGGGAAATATGGCAACATTAACTTTAAATTAAGAAATAGTTTAGATGTATGCTTTAATTTATATTTAAATTTACTTAAAATAAAAAAAGTTAAGAGGGCGTCGCACCGGTGATTTTCAGTGGTAAAAACATGTTTACGCCAACTGAAAATAACTCGCTTAATTTTGGTTTTACAGTTAAAGCACCCATTACAAAATTAAAAGAAAATAATATTCCGGAGGGCAATACGGTGCGTTTTTTTAAAAAAATTAATTTTTTGGAAAGCTATAGTCATTTAAAAATGTTAAAATAGTCGTTATTTCTAAACTATGTACTGAGCGTTATCCTTAGAATAATGAAAAAAACGCACCGTCTTGCTTTCCGAAATATTGTTCTCTTTTAATTTTATAATCGGTGCTTTTACTCTAAATCCAAAATCAAGCGAGTTATTTTCAGTCTGCTTAAACAAGTTGAGATGAAAAAACATTTTTAAATCACTTTCAAGGATGCTCTGACAGTTCAAAAAATAAATTAACTATCAAAATAGAGTCCTAGTTATTGAACTAATAATTACACATCACAGTTTAACCTTTGAATTAAGATTTTGTAAAAAATTGCCTATACTTTACTCCTTAAAAATGGGCGGTACAACGCCCTTAAAACTAGTCTCTACACTATCATTTCTTAAGGCGCATTGGATAGGCAATTTTTCCCTAAAACGACTTTTAGCTATAAAATTTGTAAACAATATGTAATATTACAATAACACAGTAAAGATGGATCAATTTTAATATTTGATTTTTTGTTTTTCAAATTCTATAACGCATAATGGCACTGTTTTTGTACATAAAAAGATTATGTTTCACTTCGAACAGGACGTTCTTGAAAATTACCTCATTTGTGTTTTGAAGAAATATATTTTGGTTTCTTTTGAAAAAATTTACTAGGCATCGATAGTGGTACAATTTTAAAAAACATTTTTAATCAGTTAATAATTTCTTTGGGAAAAAAATGCAATTTTTAAAGATTATTACAGTATAATTTTACTAAAATAAGGTGTTAGGTATAGGCAATTTTATGGAAAATCAACTTGGAGGTTGTGATGTGTAACTATCAGTTCAGTAAATAGGACTCTTTCTTGGTAGTTGATTTAGTGAAAACCTTTTTTTTTCATCTGAACATTGCTAAGCATATTATTCTTAAATACTGACTAAATAACAATCTCAGAAAACATTTTTTTTTTTACACATTTAAAATAATGTCTATAGAACTATATAATATGCAGTTTTTTTAATATTATTAACCCAACAATAACAATACATATTTGAGAGAGAATAAGTTTGGCCAAGAGATTGGAATGTTTTATTAGCATAAGAAGACAGGTATTAACACCTAGAGAGGTATTATTTTATTTTCAATTAATTTTTTCATGTTTTGTACGTTAAAAATTGTACGTATAGTTTTAACGGTCTAAAAAGTTACAACCAGGTTTATAAATGTTGCGTTTTATTTTATTTATTGGAAGAATACCTTAAATAAAATCTTATTATTCTAAATTATAAGCAAGTTAACACTTTTTAAATTCAGTATTGCCTAAAATTGTAAACTTTATACTGCTAAAACTTTCTTAAAAATATTTATATTAGTTACATAGCCAGCATAAACATAGACAACCTCAGAAGGGGTGGAAACTTTTCTTTATTGCGCTTTTTTTTATGTACTTAATTCTAAAAGCTTGAGGTAGATCTTGAATAGGGCCATAACATAATAAACAGTTTTCTCAAAATACTGAGGTTTAACATCCAACAGGTGTATGAAAATAATTGAACTTTGTTGTTGACACGATATAGCCTATTATAGTAACAATGGCAACTAACATAACCAAACCTAACACAAAATAAAGTGAAATACCTAACCTATTTTACATTAATGTATACAGCAGAAAAAATCTCTATATATCTTTATATTATAGAAAATAATATCAAGAAAGCCTCCTTTTTTTATTGACTCTCTCAGCGTCATAAAAAAACTCAACGACGTTTATAGCCCTTCTGACATAATTACTCTGATTCTTATCTTATTATACAAAAAAAAAAAGAACATTTAATTAAAATTAGATAACTTAAATGTAGGCTTGTATATTTATATTATTTTAACAAAAAATGAATAGGTTAATATGTTGGCATACTTAATTAGAGAAAAAAAAATACATATTTATTGAGTTTTAATAACTATGATTTTGTTTCTGGAACCGTTTTTGATATCCAATCTAAGTAGGGTGGATTTCCATTTTCTATCTGAAACACACATAAACATAATTGTTAACAAAATCAATTATTACAGTACTTAATTGTTGGTAAATTAATACAATAAACATAAGATGTATACTTTAATTTATATTTAAACTTACTAAAAATTTAAAAAAACAAAAACAGTTAAATGAATTAAGTACGGCTACTTAATAAGTTTTCTAAAAAAAAACTACTGAAATATTATTTAAAAATTAAAATAAAATATCTTGTCAATCAATCAACGAAGATAACAAATTTGATGAAACTTTGCCAGATCGATTAAAACTAAAAACAACAAGAACGGTATTGTTTGTTGTTTCCATCAACTAATTGAGAAAACAGAATAGAAAATTTGAACCAAATCAGGTGATCACGTCGCTATAAACTCTACGTAAAGGTGTCAAGCCGTTATCTACACGTACACCTGTCGTTGGTATTTTATTTTTATACTATTTGATTATTTAACCATTAATACAACATTGTAGTTATTAAAATAATAAATGAATAGAACTCTGATAAGTATACTAACTTTGGTTGAAATTACTTCACACACTTCATAGGGATGAACCGATCTGAAAAATAAGTTTTATCGAAAACATTAAAATCATTACTGTACACGGCTAAAGGTAAAAACCAAATAGTCATAATTCAATTAGTTGATAATACATACTTTATGTATTCAGTGAGATCGTCTACTCGCGAAGTTCTAGTTTTGATTATCTGAAGAAAAAAAATGTATAAAATCAAATTTCATTAATAATTGTCATTTATTTATTTGAGCAACTAAACTATATATTATATATAATATAGCTATGCTTAAATAAATAAATTTCGTACATGTTTCTTTGGCTATTAAATAGGATCAATTCAGTTTGAAATTAGGTTACTTATAAAGGTAAAATTTAATATTTGAATAAAGATAGTTAGGCTGTTCCATAAGCTAAAAAAAAAATTTGTATGATTATTTGTCACATAATTTGATATTATCTTTACCATTAAAGTTTCAGGATCTTCGTTAACTTTTCCGTCCCATTCGTAAATCGACGTTACGGAAGGCACTATGTTGACACAAGCTGCTAACTTTTGCGCAATGACACCGCTAAAATATATAATTAACAATTACCATATATTTACAAGTTATTACTTCATGTTTAAAGTTTATTGGAAAAAATTATTTAAAAATTAACACACCGTTTTATTTTACTTTGATTTATAATCCGTCGTCAACATTGTCCGTTGATGATGATAATGTATTTGTTTTATTTTGTCAATGTTGTAATATTATGACTTATAACTAGCATTTGGTGTTAAACTCGATAAAAACTTGTTTTTACTTCATAGTTTATGAAAAAAGAAGTAATTTAATTATAATTAGTTAAAAATAATGAAAAAAAAACCGATAGAACCGTTTTCTCCATTTTAAAATACCAATTTTATTTTGTTTTATCAACAATTTATGCCTTATAGTTCACGTTACGTATAATATTAGTATTTATTAACAATGATTTTTACAAGTGTACTAATCTATTTTTGAAAAATTTATACTAATACTATTATTTGTTTATTTAATTTACGTTTTGTATTGTAACGAGAAGCAAACAGTAAATAAAAACAAGAGTCGATTATTTAAATTAATAATACATCAAGTAACTCAAATTAACGTTTTTCAACTATCTCTTCTCTTTCAACTCGTTTCATCTCATAGCTTTTTAGGCATGGCCATGCTAGTTATCATCTTCAAATTGTAGTTAGCTTCTTGTAATTATTATTCTCAACTACACGTCAATTTTTGCCTTTCCTCTACTTCTCTTTTCTCCCTAATTAATTTCCATTACCGCTTCTTTCTAAACCTAACCTAACCTAGATAATTTTTTATTTTATCCATTCACAACACATCAATTTTTATCGTTCCAATTTTATCAATCTAAAGCCCAACATTACAAATCGGTCGGCCCCGCGACATTTTCATAAAACGAATGTTCACACAAAACTGCAGTCGCTTCTTAGTGAGGAAATTCACCGTTCTTTATACTACTCTAATTTTATAGTTGTCTCATACAAAACCTATACTTTTTTTTACTAAACTCCAGAGCTTTTGCGTCAAGCGTATTAGTCCACCTTTAAGTCTTTTTCATAAACTTCTTAAAACTCTCTCTCATAGTAACACTACTTAGTAGTCTGCACACACAACGTCTTCTCCGACAGCGCTTCGTAATTGCATACATTATAGCGATAATAACAGACAGAAAAAAGTCTAATATACGTTTGGTATTGAGAATAAACATTGAAATATAATAATATCTAATTGAATTCAGTCTTACTGAGCTAATTTCTTTGCTATATCAATCGACGGGGCGGTGACATAAGCAATGGAATGCAAGCCAGATTTATACATGTTGTCGACGAACGGTTCAACTCCACCAGAAGAACCAGACTTGGTCGTGCTTAAAACTAACAGTAGTAATAATAAATACTTGAAAAAATAACAATTTAACCTGTCAGGCTCGTACATCATATTACAGGAGTCGGCGAATTTTTGAAAAATAGATAAGGGTCGGTGCACAGTTTTTGTTATCTCTGCAATTTACACAATACATATGGAAAATGTGATAAGAGACTTGTCTTTTATCATATTATAACTGATAACATAATAATTAATAATTATTCATTAATCATTATAAATTTCTGTGTAGGACCTAGTGTCAAAAATTTTCTAGCTCTCAACTATAAAAATGTTTCATTGAATTTTTTTCGTTTAAAGATGGCTTAAGTTTTTATTTGAAAACATTCGGTTGATCGGTATAGGTAAAATTCGATAACAACCGGCGGGAAAAAAAAATAAACGTTTTATCCACTCTAAGCCATGCGAATTATCTTAGACAACTAGTTGTGTTTATAATAATTATTATTTGTTTATACACTAAATTACCATACTCGAAACATAATTCGTTCGAGCCTTGTCGCACTAATATCAGAAAGCTGTAACTCATTTAGTACAGGTAAGTCGGAAGCATGCACAAAAATTATGTTTCAATTGACTTTTAGCCTCGAGGCGTAGCTAAAAAGATACAATTGTTTATACAATAATGTGGTTTTTTTTTTAAATTATTATTTGTGCCTGAACCCCCATGACATCTTTTAGCCATCAAACCATTGTTTTAAGTAACAAGTCTATGGAACAGAAATTATACCGGAAATTTACTTTATAGAGTCAAAAATTCACCCCTCCTATAAAATCGAGAAAAACTTATAAAAAAATGTACATATTTTTGTCTTAAAATTATGGCACGCTATGACTTTTTGAAAATAATTTCAACGCTTTTATTGATATTTGTGTTTCTTCCGTCTACAGATTCTTATCGAGGGGTTTATTTCAAACTGATTTTATCATATTCAGTTATAATAATTTCTGATGACCTTTAACATCCTTGAACCCTATATGTTCCGTCCCCATTGTCCCGGTATTTTCTTAAACTGTGCCCGATAAACGTTTTTCTCCGGTTATTAGTTGCAATGGTAATTTTTTCCGTAATTCCTTTATGCCTATAATTTTGTTATTTCAGAAACGTACCCAATACAAGAGGACTACAAAATGGGAATTATATCAAACTTGGTGAGTATTTTTTTGTGTAATACTTTGAAAATGGACCCTTAGTTTTGTTTTTCCATTTGTCAATTGCTTATTAAAACTTAGGTATTACTAGGTGTCACACGAAAAACGCAACTAACATTTCTAAAAGTTATACTTTTTTTAAATTGCTCATTTCACGGTTTCATTCTATTTAATTTACATTTTTTTTTTGTTTTGATAATTAATATATAATAAAGTATTAAATGTTTTCTAACTCAAGTTAACATCAAATTTCTAAACATTAACAATCTAACCTATTTTTAAAATAAATAAAATTCAAAACGATTGGTGTGTTAAAACAAACTTATGTCTGTATTCTAGTTTAATAATCATTATTTTTTATTTTCCAGATAACGTATGGCTTAGGAGTGTATTCTGGGGTTTATTTAGCTCAAAACTATAATGTGAGTTATGTGTTTGATGTAATATTGTATTATTAATATGTTTATGTCTTTCAATTGTCTATGGCGATAAATTACTACCCATGACATGAATCTCTTTTAAAATCCCAATCCGAAACATAATTACATTGTGCGAGCATCAGTCCCTTGTTGTTAAGACTTGTTTGACCTCGATAGTCCTCTCCTCTGTTCAAATAATTGTCCTGTGCTTTAAAGCTTTAGAGCTTCTCGGCTTCATCAAAAACACACCTCGAGGAATTTCTCGTGATATTCCCTCTCGAATTGAACACTTGCGTTCTTACATTCAATTCTCCATTCCCTCTCGTTACATCTATCCTTACTTCCTCTGTCCGATAACTATTATTTGTTAGTTTTTGGCTTCGTCCCGTTTGGAAACGATATAAAAATATTTTTAACGAATTATATTTTTTTATACAGTTATCAAAAGTACAAGAACCGAGAATTTTATTTGAGAAACTAAAGAAAAGTTTTGAGGAGATGTTTCCGCCCAAAGAACCATAAGAAAAAAACCAAAATGATGAACAACAATAACAATCAAGGAGTCTTGCTTTTTTTTTTTTTTAATCCTAATTGTTGAACATGTAATAGGGTTAGATAAAGAGTGATATTATATCTATAAATACCATGTAATTTATTTTTTTGTAATATAGCCCTCGATTCGTGTTATAAAATGATACTTACTACTTACATTTTACTAGGTAAAAGAATACCTTAAACCATTTTTTTTTCTTTGTGATTTTAGGTTTTGGTAATAAAAATATTACTGAACTCACATAAATAATTAACATGTTATTTGCTAGCAGTGTACTATTTTATTAAATTTATTCCATGAAATCAAAACGGACGGCCATAAGTAAGCAGCGCGTGTCTTGTTAATTTAGTTTATTCAAACTGTGTAATAGACTAGAGAAAAAATAAGACATATAGTTTCTTTTTTCAAATGTTTGTAGTTGATGTATTTTATATATTGCTACAAAACAATGTGTTATTAATTTTAAAAATTTATATATAATAATAATGTATTATTATAAAATTATTATGTATGACTTACGAGAACTTTACGTAACCTAAAATCTAAATTCAATTAGGTGCAGATTGATTTCCGTATTGGAATAATATTTATAATAGAAATCCTATATAGACAATATAAGAGATGGTTAAATTTAAAACACTTACTAAACGTACATTAAAACTATTTCATTAAAAAAATACCCTACAAAACAAGTTTGTTTGTGAGCTTTAGTTTTTTTTTTTTACAAACCAAATGTCGAATAGTCAAAAACACGCGTTCAATCAATCTAGATCGAAACCGCTTATAGCAATTGAACATATTTAAAAATTGGACCAGCAAAAACAGTATAAATCGTTCATACATATTATTAAGTACATGTAAAAAATACCAAAATTAAGCATATACAAAGCATATTTTTCTTTTTTATGTATATAATTTTATCGGTTATTAATATAAAGTAAAAATACAAATTTGTAATAATAAACAATCATTTTTTCATTTGTAGCAAATTTGTATAATTTAAAAAAATTATTCTTACAATATTGGCAGAATTTACAACAAAAAAACTATATAAAAGGAATTAACAATATTATTAAATAGAACGAGAAAAGGTTCTACGTAGATGTTTTTTTTATATAATATATATTGATACCTGCCATCTTAGATAATATTATAGTATAACGTAAATCTTTGGGCGTTATAAATTTCAAGAGAAGCAAAAAAAGAATACAAGCTAAATACTATTATTTGGGAATTAAGAGGGGAATGGGGGGAGGGATACTATCAAACAAAATTAAACAAATGTAAAATTTCTAAAATACCTAATCCCTAAGAACCAAATATAAAATCACAATATCCACACAAAGCGTTTTAAATTCTTGTCGTGCGGCCGTTACGCAACGGCTATACAAAGTTACAAATTATATACCTAACTGAAAGCGAAACCGCCGCCCGAGTATTCCATTCTCGTCGGCGGATCGATAAAAGCTAGCCAGTCCGACGCGTGAGTAGGTAACAAACCCATCGACTGACACTTGTACAACGCTAACACAATGTTGATTATGTTTCCGATGAAAAATATAATTTTCTGTCCCCACGCTTGCATACCTTCGATAGTTTTGAACGCTGGAACAGAAGTAAAGATGTTTTATTAATAAAAATAAATTAAAGCTATTAGGAAATAATATTAAACAATTATCGGATACATATTAAATAGGCATGGTTTATACTTGAAGTATTATTTGTTCGATTGTTCTCATTCAACTCACCCATTAAATTTATTTAGTTCTTATAAAAAAAAAAAAAAAACAGTTTCCCCTGCCTCCAAATTGGATTAAAATACAGCCAATGTGGTATATTAAGTTTTTTTTTCTATTAACAACAAGATTTACAAAAATAGCAAATCTAAACATTTCCCATAAAAATACGAGTTAAAATTTGACTTTTTTTTTTCTGTAAAAAATACTAATAAATTAAAATTTAGATTCTTAAATAAAGATTCAACAAATAATTTTCACAAAATTGATTTTAATAAAACAAAAATTTGTACATGAAAACATATTTGGACCGGCTGTTTCAATGACTTGAATATAGTTATTGATTAAAATAAAAACTAGTGTTCTGTGAAGAGGTACGTCTTAAAAATCTCTTAAATTGAATATAAAAATAAAAAATGCCTAACATATTACTAGCATTAGTTGGATTAAAATATTTATCCAAAAAATGTATGTGCTGTGAAAATGCAACGAAAAATAATTTCATTGTAAATAATTTGCATTATGTGTAAAAAGTAAAAATCCAGTTCATTACGCGTAAAAGAAATTTAACAATGGACAATTATTACTTGAAAAATATTTCATCTTGAAATAAAACTGTATTTGTTTTCTTAAAAATAATATTTTAAAAATATTATTATTTGATAGGAATACCTAAATGTATGCGTAGACTGAAATACTTAATTTTTCAACTTCTTACGTCATCATTTCTTGTAAAATATTATTATAATAATATAATAATAATATTATATCTTTGAAATTTTTGATTTTATTGTAACTTACTCGCTTGTAGTGTAAACAAGGCTTTGACTGGTCTTACGATGAGCATCCCAACCATCATAATCGGGAATATTGATATGGAGTTTCCCGCCATGTACATGATGAACAAGTTCATTGGAACCTAATGTGAAAAAATAAAAAACGTAAACAACTACGCGCATAAAACTATATGAATTCAATAAACACAAATTTAAAATTACTAATGTCGTAGTTTGTGCATGTGAAAGTTATCGAAAGTAACCGTTATGCAGATAATATCAAACTAATATATTACATACTTGTTTAAGTGGACCTAAAGCAAGATCCCAGGACTTTTTTATAATCAGTCTATTCGATTCGCTGTCTTTGGATAGTTCGGTGCCATTTTGACCGGCAGCCTGACTGTATCCGGGCGGACTGATATTGTCGTAGATCTTTTCGTGTTTGTTTCTAATCGACGAACAAAAAAAAAAACAGATTGACTTACACAATGTGAAAAAAAAATTATATTTAGACACAATTTGTGTCAGTCTTCAACGCGATACGGCTATTATTTAAAAGAATTAAACGCAGAACTGCGAACAATCAATTAAACGTCAAAAGGGTAATTGTACGATCGAGTTGACAAAATCTACGCAACCATGAATTTTGTGAGCAGCCGACGAGCGAGCTAAGGCCATACGCCACATACCGGTACGGTAAAAATTCAAAACGGATTGAACAAACAACGATAATTTGAATTGAATACAATCGATTTTCATTTACCTGGTGAAGTCTAGTGCCCATTTGAAACTTTTGTTCTTGACGGTGCCCATTTTTTTTTTTTTTTTGTAGGGAGGGGGAGATTTTACAAATGAAACTAGACGATGTTTGGTTTTACAAGAAAGAAAAGAAATGCTTTATTTCTTTTGTTGTTTAACGCGTTCGAAATTTAATAGGTCGTCTCGCTGGACAAAATATATTAAAAGAAGTAAGAAGTAAGAACCCTAAACCCTTAACCCACGTATGACGTGATAAGCGGATTAAGCAAACGCTAGATAAATGATAATAAAGTATAATATAATGTTATCTATGGGCGAAGACCCTCCCGGTCATGACAACGGCGTAACGCTGCTTGTACCATGCGACACTGAGTCGTGCCAGTCGTCGTTTGCGTAAAACCAATACGAATCGTTGTTGATATTATAATAAATAACAACAATTAATGCAATCGTTCTGAGTTTGATTCGAGAACAACGTAATATATTATTAATAATTAAAAAATCCGACAAACAATTATTATATTTTATTACCGACAAACTGCACCTTCGCAAAAACGATGTAGCGCTGCTCGTACCACACGACACGGCGTCAACGGGGTTTGGTTAGAATGGTTGGAATTATTCCTGATTGACGTTTTAGACCAAAAATCCAGTCAAAATGTCTACTACTTAGGATGGTCCGATTACAATTTTGTGTAGAGGTATGTCTTTTTTTTAGAGTTCTATGGCAACTTTACTGGGTTATGTATGAAACGGGGGGGGGGGGAGGGTTGATTTTTTGCTTTTGTTTTATGTAAAAAAATAGAGTTTCAATTATATTAAAAAAATTGCAAATTTCGTTTATTTAATTACAACAAACTGAAATGTTTAAAACGCAAAACGATTTCCTACATAACACAGTACAGCAGCCAAAGAACTCGAACGTCTTGACAGATGTGAAAATGGGACCATCCTAGGAAGCAGAAATTTTTTCTGGCTTTTTGGTCTAAAATAAACCAAAATGGCTTTTACTCATGGAAACAATTACTAAAATACAAAAATAACACCTTAAAGCTTAGACAAATTAACCGGAAAACTAATTAACATGGTCGAAATTGATTAAAACCTCTTTTTTTTTTCATAAACATCGCCCATAGAAAACTCAAAGTCCCATTTATTAAGGAGTTATAAGCAATTTTTTGTAAAATCTTAATTTATCGCTTAAGAACTGTGAAGTGTAATTATTAGTGTAATTATTAGTTATAATTGGGACTGTTTTTTTTTTTAGGTAGTTATTTTCCGGACTATCACACTAGCATCCTTGACGGCAATTAAAAAAAAAAATTCATTTAAACATAGCTACTCATATTTTCTAATAGGTATTGAATAAATAATAATCGGACACTTTTTTTTCACATAATAGCAACAACAAAAACTATCAAACATTTTTTGGTTGGGTTTTTTTTTTTAAATATTATTATCCCAACATTCACAATATTTACATCTAGTTACTTTTTTTTTTAGTGCTTGTATTAATGGTAAAATGTATGTCTTCCTCTACAATAGTGTTTAACAAGGGGCATTGTTTAGGCAATTTTTCACTAAATTCTAATAGTAAGGGAATCGAAAGATGGACCGATTTTTTGACGTTTTATACATAAAAGCCTGGTATTGTTGTTAATTTAAATATAATTTTTTTCTACGAGTAAAAGCAATTTGTTTTATTTTCTACCTAAACGTATACTTAAAAATGGTCGGATTTCAATTTGATAAGAGTTCTTTAGCACTTAACAAGAAACCGATTTTCACTTATAATATTCTTGTAATTAAATAAATACATTCTTTTCAACAGGCTCTAGTTATGGACAAAAACAACATATTATGTTTCTACCTCGAACAGAACATATTTTTAAAAATTATCCGTTTAAGTTAGAAAAAACAATTTAAATTCTTGACAACATTTACAAGGTAATGATCATGGCACAATTTAAAATAAATAATACATTTTTTGAAAAGTTAGAAAAAAAATTGTTATTTTCTGTTATTTTGTCTGTCTGGTGTGGAATTCTTTGACAAACTTGAGTCAATTAAAAAAAAACAAATTGACGTGATAAGATTTGTTAGGCGATTAGGATTCAACAAACAAATTACATTTCTTATTAGTTTTTATTAAAAAAAAAAAAAGCTTTAAATAGTGTTATTATACAGTGTAATAGTTTACAAGTGCAAATATCTATGTATTTATCGAGTTGACTTATGTTTAATAAACACAGTTTTTCATTAAGAGTTTGAGGCAATTTGTATAATATTTTTCTTTAGTTTGATTTGCAAATATACTGCTGTAACGTACGGATAACCAATGATTTATCAAGTTATTTTTAACTTGCCCAACACTGTCCAGAATATGATTACTTTTCCAAACCAAGGTTTAACAAATTATCTCAAACACTATAATAAATATTAAAAAAAAAAAATAATGAACACTGGTTTCGACTAGTAGTAGAATATAAGTAATAATACCAATGATCGCTAAACATCAATCGCAATATTAAAAAGACACACAATTTCAATATAGAAAAACAAAATAAATTAGGTAACGCACGCGCAAGGAATATAGATAAAACACAAAAAATGCGATAGACTTAGGTGATCTCACCGTTTTAGAGGTTCAATTATTATATAGATAAAACATATAATAATAAAAAAAACGCAGGACTTATAAAGAGATTACATGCTTTGGTATCGATTGTTTTGAAGTTGGATTTCACAAGCACGCGGCGGTGTTTACGTGTGTTGCTTCGATCAATTTTAGTTCGACCGTTTTCTTTTGACGCTCGTCCTGTTTCTCGGTAGTTTGTGGCATTTGTGTACAGTTGCGAGGTGTCTGTTGAGATTGGATGCACTGGTGAACTCCAAGCTGCAGGCCGGGCACTTATACGGTTTTTCACCGGTGTGCGACCGCATGTGCGTCGCCAGGTTGGACGACTGCGTGAAACGTCTCTTGCAAATTTCGCACGCGTACGGCTTGACGCCCGTGTGGACCCGCTTGTGTGTGGTGAGGAACGACGCCGTGGTGAAACCCTTGGAACACACCGGGCATATGTAAGGTTTCTCGCCGGTGTGCGTTCTCAAGTGACTGACCAGCGTCGTCGAGTGCTTGAATTTCTTGTCGCAGTGTTTGCACGCAAAAGGATGCGTGTCGGTGTGTTTCGCCACGTGCATTTTCAGGGCCGCCTTGCTTATGAAGTGTTGCGCGCACAGGTAGCATTCCAGCGGTTTCTCGCCGGTGTGCAGTCTCATGTGCAATTCGACGTGCGACGGCCTGGTGAAACCTTTCTTGCATACCGAGCAAGAGTACGGTTTGACGGTAGCGTGGACGGTCTGATGTTGTTTGAACTCGTACAGACGTATAAAACCCTTGGTACACTTGTCACATTTGTACGGTTTGGCCGCTTTAGCGTGTGCCCTAATATGGTGTATGGTAGCGTTGTGTACACTTCGGAAACGTTTAGGACACTCCGGGCATTTGTACGGCATTTTGTTGTTTTTTAAAAGTTCACTCTGGCTGCAAAATAAAATAAATGCAAACGATGAAGCAAACCAAAAATCATTCACAATTTATGATTTTTTTTATTAGCTTACGTGAATGAATCATCGGCGCATTTCTCAGCCATTAAGTAACTGTTGTGTGGGGTCAAAAAATGAGTGATGATTGCCTTCCTCGATTTAAACGACTTCAGACACTTATCGCAAGTGTACGTCTTTTTACGTTTACCCTTATTAATGGTTTTTTGCTCATTCTGACTGTCCTCATCACTCTTGCCAATATCACTAAATTATACAACACAAAATTATAAAAGCTTGTATTTTTGAAGAAAAAATATAATTACAACAAATAGATGAAAAATCAAAATTCTAAATGAAGTAATAAGAACCAAATAAAGCTAACCTGGATGAATGGTAAAACAAAATACTCGTAAGTAACAATGAAGCGAACAAAAAACATTCAAACTCCACACAAAACTACTGCAGATTTATCTTGTGTGTTAACATACGTGAATAATTCGTCGGAGGAATCATTATTGTGCTCGTCAGAAAAACTGTGTGGTATCGACAAATGACTGGTGATCATTGTCTTTGATCTAAACTTCTTCAGACACTTATCGCAAGTGTACGTTTTTTTACGTTTAATGGTTTTTTCGACCAATCTTCCGACTCTTCTTATCATTCTTGTCAATATCGCTAAATTGTACAACACAAAGTATAATAATTTTAAAAAAATTACAACAAATAAATGAAAAATCTAAATTATATAAATAAAATAATGTTAACCTGCAAGAAATGCGCTGTTCAACATTGTCTGTTAATTTATTTGATTCCATATCGTCTTCTGTTTCCATTGAAGAATTACAACCTTCCTCTTCTTTTTCTTTGACTTCACAACTCGTCGATTCGAAAGTTAACGAGCTAAATTAAATAAAAAACAACATTGCAAAGTAATTAAGGTACGTGAACTAAGCTAAATCCATACAAATTAATTTTTTTTAATGCACAAAAGATTTGTGGAACAGAGTTAAAAAATGTATAAAGTATATTATACTTCATCATTATTTCAAGACAATGTGCATCATCTGAATTGTTTAAAGATTATAGAAAATGTAAACATTCAAATTAATGTACTAAAGAAAGTTAGCTTTAAAGAATGAACACATGTGTCAGGGAGGCAACTATTATAATTTTAAAAGGGGCAAGGAAAAGTTCATTAAAACTCATTTTTCATAATACCTTATTTTGCTAAAGTAGGTACTGTACAAAAACATTTTATTTTAATTTACAAAAATAAATGAAAAATCTAAATGAAATATGTAGAAAAGAATGGTAACCTCGAAGAATGATGCTGTTCAACATTGTCCGTTATTTCAGTTAAAACCTTTTCGTCTATTATTTCTATGTTGGACTTAGAATCATCTTTTTTGTCTTCAAAACTGAATAATTTGGTGGTTGAAAGGCTAAAAAAAAAGGTTATGTTTTTAAGTAAGTGTCCTAAACTAAATCTATAAAAAAATTATTTTAGTAATTGTATAAAATGAATTGTGCACTGTACAACAGTTTTTGTGAAATATTTTTAAAAATATATAAACGTATAAACCATAATTGTCGTCATCCTTTCAAGACAATTTGTATCATCTGAACTATTTTAATTAATAAAATCAAGATAGTTTCCCTACAGCATTAACACTACTTTTTTTACTTCTACTGCATATTTGTATTTTAAGCATAGGTATAATATTCAAATCAATTCTTAAAAAACAAAAAATAAACTTACCTTGTAGAAGGAGCGTTATCCTCCAATTCATCATTTATGAGATTTTCCTGTATTTCTACCACAGACATAAAATAATAACCATCGCCCACTTCATCAACTTCGAAATTAATTTGCGAATCTGGGTCGAATTCGATAAAACTAAAAAAAAAATTCTGTATTAACCAAATAGTATTAAGCAATAATTTATGGGGGAAAAAAACCTATCACAATTCTATACTTCAAAATTCTAAAACCTCATTAAAAGTCGAATCGATCCTAACATAAAATTATAAGTACCAACATAAGATGTGTTTCTTAAACATTTTTTTAAATTGTATACTTCAAAATGTCCTAATTATACATATTCAAATTATCCCAAAACAGTCGATTTGTTCCAACATAAGTTGTATTAAAAAAAAAAAAAAAACTCAATCCTATTGAACCCGTTAAATAGTTTTAGTTTTAATTGGTTCGTGAATGGGCCCAAGAAATGCCATGAACTCATACCTCCTGTAGGTCAGTTTTGCACACCTCACTAAAGTCTTATTTTAGGTAATTAACAAATAAATGAAAAATCTCAATTCTAAACAAAATAATGCTAACCTGGAAGAATGATGCCGTTCAGCATTGTTTGTTTGTTTAGTCAATTTCTTATTGTTTTCTTTTTCTATACTAGACTTAAGAAAAGAATCATCTTCCACTCCATCTTTTTGGACTTCATCACTGAATGATTCGGTAGTTAACAGACTAAAAAAAAAAACAAATAAAATTGTAATTTAAATTTAAGGTAAGTGTCTAACAAAACTAAAATTTCCGATTATTTTATTAAATAAATTATACACTGCACAACAGGTTTGTGGAATAAGAGAACCAATGTATGAACCGTTAACGTATAAATGTATAAACCTTAATAGTCGTCATCATCTCAAGACAATCTGCATCATCCGAGGTTATTTAAAGGTTATAGGAAATTATACACATTTAAATTAATTTAGCTTTATGAAATAAACTGTACTATGAAAAAATAATACCAAAGCAATAAATAAACTTACCTTGTAGAAGGAGCGTTATCCAATTCGTCTTTTATGAGATTTTCCTCGAGTTCTAACACAGACTTGTAATATATACCTTCGCCCATTTCATCGACTTCATATTTAATTTGTAAGTCTGGGTCGAATTTGATATAACTAAAAAAAATAATAAACCAAGAAAAAATAGAATTACCTTATAACAATATTTAAGAAGAAAAAAAGAAAAAAATTAACTTATGAACTGCTAGTCGAGTCTGTTATTGTTTGTATGGACTAATTATAGTTGAAGCTTTTAAATAAAAATCAATATTTTATAATTAAGCAAAACATAAGGATATTATAATAACTGAGAAATTAAAAAAAAACTACATATGAGCAACATGAACTTCATACTGATAACAGCATAATGATAACAGAATCAATCCTAAATAACAAGAGTACTGACATAATATGAGTTTCTTAAATCTTTTCTGTTGACGTGTATAACATAAAATGCCAACGGCACATGATTGATTTAACCTAAAACACTCATTTCGTTCAACATAGTGTTGTATTTAAGAAAAAAAAATGTAATGCTGTCAACACGTTTGGATTATTCGAAAAAATATAAAACCTTTTATTTTTAATTTACAACAAATAAATGAAAAATCTAAATTCTTAATAAAGCATAAAGAACAAAATAACCTACTAACCTGGAAGCTTGATGCTGTTCAACATTGTCCGTTATTTCAGGTAAATCCTTATCGTCTTTTATTTCTACGTCGGAATTAAAAAAAGAATCATCTTTCACTCCATCTTCTTTGTCTACATAACTGAATGAATTGGTGATTATCAGGCTAAATTAAAAAAAAAAAATTGTAATGTATTTAAGCTAAGTGTCCAAAACTATATCTATGATAATTGTTATTTTAAATGATTTAAAAAAAAAAATACGTATAACAAAATAATACTAACCCGGAAGCTTGATGCTGTTCAATATTGTCTGTTATTTCAGTTAAATCCTTATCGTCTTTTATTTCTACGTCGGAATTAAGAAAAGAATCATCTTTCACTCCATCTTCATTGTCTACATAACTGAATGAATTGGTGATTATCAGGCTAAATTAAAAAAAAAAAAATTGTAATGTATTTAAGCTAAGTGTCCAAAACTTTATCTATGATAATTGTTATTTTAAATGATTTTAAAAAAAAATACGTATAACAAAATAATACTAACCCGGAAGCTTGATGCTGTTCAATATTGTCTGTTATTTCAGTTAAATCCTTATCGTCTTTTATTTCTACGTCGGAATTAAGAAAAGAATCATCTTTCACTCCATCTTCATTGTCTACATAACTGAATGAATTGGTGATTATCAGGCTAAATTAAAAAAAAAAAAATTGTAATGTATTTAAGCTAAGTGTCCAAAACTTTATCTATGATAATTGTTATTTTAAATGATTTAAAAAAAAAATACGTATAACAAAATAATACTAACCCGGAAGCTTGATGCTGTTCAATATTGTCTGTTATTTCAGTTAAATCCTTATCGTCTTTTATTTCTACGTCGGAATTAAGAAAAGAATCATCTTTCACTCCATCTTCATTGTCTACATAACTGAATGAATTGGTGATTATCAGGCTAAATTAAAAAAAAAAAAATTGTAATGTATTTAAGCTAAGTGTCCAAAACTTTATCTATGATAATTGTTATTTTAAATGATTTTAAAAAAAAATACGTATAACAAAATAATACTAACCCGGAAGCTTGATGCTGTTCAATATTGTCTGTTATTTCAGTTAAATCCTTATCGTCTTTTATTTCTACGTCGGAATTAAGAAAAGAATCATCTTTCACTCCATCTTCATTGTCTACATAACTGAATGAATTGGTGATTATCAGGCTAAATTAAAAAAAAAAAAATTGTAATGTATTTAAGCTAAGTGTCCAAAACTTTATCTATGATAATTGTTATTTTAAATGATTTTAAAAAAAAATACGTATAACAAAATAATACTAACCCGGAAGCTTGATGCTGTTCAATATTGTCTGTTATTTCAGTTAAATCCTTATCGTCTTTTATTTCTACGTCGGAATTAAGAAAAGAATCATCTTTCACTCCATCTTCATTGTCTACATAACTGAATGAATTGGTGATTATCAGGCTAAATTAAAAAAAAAAAAATTGTAATGTATTTAAGCTAAGTGTCCAAAACTATATCTATGATAATTGTTATTTTAAATGATTTAAAAAAAAAATACGTATAACAAAATAATACTAACCCGGAAGCTTGATGCTGTTCAATATTGTCTGTTATTTCAGTTAAATCCTTATCGTCTTTTATTTCTACGTCGGAATTAAAAAAAGAATCATCTTTCACTCCATCTTCATTGTCTACATAACTGAATGAATTGGTGATTATCAGGCTAAATTAAAAAAAAAAAAATTGTAATGTATTTAAGCTAAGTGTCCAAAACTATATCTATGATAATTGTTATTTTAAATGATTTTAAAAAAAAATACGTATAACAAAATAATACTAACCCGGAAGCTTGATGCTGTTCAATATTGTCTGTTATTTCAGTTAAATCCTTATCGTCTTTTATTTCTACGTCGGAATTAAGAAAAGAATCATCTTTCACTCCATCTTCATTGTCTACATAACTGAATGAATTGGTGATTATCAGGCTAAATTAAAAAAAAAAAAATTGTAATGTATTTAAGCTAAGTGTCCAAAACTATATCTATGATAATTGTTATTTTAAATGATTTTAAAAAAAAATACGTATAACAAAATAATACTAACCCGGAAGCTTGATGCTGTTCAATATTGTCTGTTATTTCAGTTAAATCCTTATCGTCTTTTATTTCTACGTCGGAATTAAGAAAAGAATCATCTTTCACTCCATCTTCATTGTCTACATAACTGAATGAATTGGTGATTATCAGGCTAAATTAAAAAAAAAAAATTGTAATGTATTTAAGCTAAGTGTCCAAAACTATATCTATGATAATTGTTATTTTAAATGATTTAAAAAAAAAAATACGTATAACAAAATAATACTAACCCGGAAGCTTGATGCTGTTCAACATTGTCCGTTAGTTCAGGTAAATCCTTATCGTCTTTTATTTCTACGTCGGAATTAAAAAAAGAATCATCTTTCACTCCATCTTCATTGTCTACATAACTGAATGAATTGGTGATTATCAGGCTAAATTAAAAAAAAAAAATTGTAATGTATTTAAGCTAAGTGTCCAAAACTATATCTATGATAATTGTTATTTTAAATGATTTTTAAAAAAAATACGTATAACAAAATAATACTAACCCGGAAGCTTGATGCTGTTCAATATTGTCTGTTATTTCAGTTAAATCCTTATCGTCTTTTATTTCTACGTCGGAATTAAGAAAAGAATCATCTTTCACTCCATCTTCATTGTCTACATAACTGAATGAATTGGTGATTATCAGGCTAAATTAAAAAAAAAAAATTGTAATGTATTTAAGCTAAGTGTCCAAAACTATATCTATGATAATTGTTATTTTAAATGATTTTAAAAAAAAAATACGTATAACAAAATAATACTAACCCGGAAGCTTGATGCTGTTCAACATTGTCTGTTATTTCAGTTAAATCCTTATCGTCTTTTATTTCTACGTCGGACTTAAGAAAAGAATCATCTTTCACTCCATCTTCTTTGTCTTCATAACTGTATGATTTGGTGATTAACAGGCTAAATTAAAAAAAAAAAAAAAAATTGTAATGTATTTAAGCTAAGTGTTCTAAACTAAATCTATAATAAAAAATTATTTTAGCTAATTGTATAAAATGAACTGTACACTGTACAACAGTTTTTATGAAAAAGAGTTAAAAAATATATTAACGTATAAACCATAATTGTCGTCATCATTTCAAGAAAATTTGCATCATCTGAACTATTTTAATTAATAAATTCAAGATAGTTAGATTTATGGAATAAATATGTGTTAGGGAAATAATATCATTTTAAAAGAGCCAAATAAAAGTTATTTGTCTTACCCTCCATCGATCGTTAAACACCAGTTATCCATAACCCTTATTACATTTCCCTACAGCATTAACATTACTTTTTTTATTTCTACTGCATATTTTTATTAAAAGCATAGGTGTAATATTTAAATCGATTTTTAAAAAAGAAAAAAGAAACTTACCTTGTAGAAGGAGCGTTATCCTCCAATTTGTCTTTTATGAGATTATCCTTGATTTCTATCACACTCTTGAAATATAAACCTTCGCCCACTTCATCAACTTCATGTTTAACTTGTGTATCCGTGTCGAGTTTCACATCACTAAAAATAAAAAATACACAATATACAAATTTTTTGATTACTTTGTACATTTTTTTATATAATTAATTAACAATAGTCACAGCAAATGGTTTAACAGTATTGTTCTTATTACAGAATTAATTGTGTGTATTACCTACAGGAAAGCGATTATTTATTTTTTTATAATAAAAAAAATTAATTAAAACTTCTGCTAAGTACCAAATTTTAAATAAGAACTACATTTACATACAAATTATAATTTAAGTTGAATTTTTCAAATTATATTTTATATACAATCCAAAAATATATAATATTTTTAATATGAGTATATTATGTCTTAAACCTATGACTAAACTAGAAAAAAAAAAGTTAAAAACAAGAAATATGTATGTTAAATTCACATTTGACAGTAGTAAGTGACTAACATATCGACTAAACTTACTCTGAGGTAAATGCTTCTGATGCGATATGGTTTTCTTCTGAGTCGCATTCTAGTTTTATCATATCACATTCATTTGGTTGGATGCAACGATCTGGATAAAAACAAATTGACAATGAAGACATTAAAAAACATTTAAAAGGTGAACGAAAATTGTAAAAAAAAAAAACCTTCAAGTTGTGTAAACATTTACCGACATTTAGTCAATTATTATCAGCAATATCCATATTATCTTTTTTTTTAATTTAAATTAAATGTTTCGCCACATCTTAATTCTTTATTTTAAACAGCGATGTTTACGGCTATCGTAATAAAAAGAATAACAGACTCTAATAAACGTTTATATAAATCATGAGATTTTTAACAAATACATAAGTAACATTTGTAATACAAATATCGCTGAAAACTTGGATATGTGCCGTATTTCTATTAACAAGTCTACTTAATGAATTCTATAATCTGTATTTTCATACAAGTACATAAGAAACTCTGTTTTTTCCTTAAGGGCATTGGAAGGGCATATTATTTCATCTCTCGGTCAATCAGACACACAGTATGTATAGGAATTTAGACGTACTTATGCGATGAGGATTCTGGAAACATATATTGCACTTTAAGTTGTCCGGATTAAAATCAAATGAAAAAAAGTGGGTATGTCATATCCCAGAGCAGAGATTCTGAGGCATTCAAATTTGTCACCACATATTTTATGAGCAGATTGATCGGTACGTTGGAACGAATATACATCTAAATTCTTGCAGTACGCGTTAGATGAACAGAGAGAAAATACTGCTTTTAAATCCACTTTAAGCGAATAAACCACGTTTATTATTATATACTATTATTGTACATACTAATATGATTATAGTTATAAGTATAGTTTTTTTAATTTTTCTTATAAATAATTATGGTTATAAAATAAGATTATTATTAATGCGCGATTTACATCAAATCAGCGTTTCCGAGGGTGGGGCCGATAGTAGAAATACGTCTCAAAGGGTAGTGCTGTCAACAGGAGGAAAGTAGTCAATGTATGGTGGTATCGATCAACGACAGTGGCCGATGATATTCAAAGAGTGCAAAGGGGGTGCAATGCGTCGAAGTCATCGATACTTTGCGTTAGGACCTCTGAACCTTCGTAATTGGGCTAACCACTGCTCGACAAGACGCTTACCGAATACCAATACAAATATACAACACCCTGTATTATTATTATTTTATTTATTACTGAAATCGGTCGTTGGTAGGATTTTTTTGTTTACCTGAATTTGGTGGAATCGGTTTACCGTCCATGACGATGATCGACGAATCAACCGCTGCTGCCGGACGAACAGTTAAACGTCTTATCGACTGTTCGTTGTGAAATGAAGTGGAAATTTATTTTAAAACGGTTTAAGCAAAGGAAGTATAATAGCATGTACACATACAACCACCGGCCAAGTCACGACGAGCTTCACGCGGTCGGCGGGAATCGCCACACAGAATAACGGATTAGAATTATTCAGATAATAACAACAGGCAACAGCAACAACCATACACAGTGCGAGCCGGACCGCAGCAGTTTGCACACAAGCTCCATCCAGTGTTAATAAGCATAGGCTAGTAAATCAATAACGTTGCTTTGCCAGGCACCAACCAGCAACTGTGTAGTGGAGGGTTGTACATAGGGGGACGTTTATTATTCTGTGCGCAGGCAGCTGCACAGCCCTTTGTTGAAATATACAGGGTGTTGCACATCGTCTCGAATAATTGTTATATCAAATGCAATAACCTTGTATAGTTAGTTCAATAATGCTGCAGCACAGATATATGAACGATATATTATTATTATAATATATTATATATGTCATATGATATAATAAACTAGATTGCTAAGTGTACACTGTACATGCTGCCTATAGAGATAATCCGAAGGTACCATTTTCCGCCATCTTTGTGGGAATTAGAACCTTATTATCACATGAAAATATGAATATAACAATATATATTATAAATAGGGCAGAGGACTTTTAGCTCTAAAAAAACATTAAATATGCAAGCACTTATGCGCTCCCCTAAAAAGCATATATAACTTAAAAATGTCTCAAAAAGCAAAAAAGACCTAAACATGCAACATAGAAATTACAGATTTGGCTTTGTCATAACCTAAAACAAATATCTTTATGGTTGGCCTTTTTATACGGCTGCGGAAAACAAATATGCAAATGCTAGACGTCCTTTGCCCTAATTATAAGTCAAGAAGCCTCTACACTGGCATTGTATAGGAAATTTTGCATTAGCATTAGCGTTTAACAATGATTTATTATTGAGTTTTAATATTTTTAATAAAGTACTTAATAATTGTATGTGTTTATGTCAATAACGCGATTGATTAGTACGCTGTGTCGACCGGCAACACAAAATATGTGCAGCTCTCGCTTTATATTCAATATTTTTTTTTAAATAAAGTTGTTTATATTTTACATATTACATATTACCACAGGAAAGAAGTAAATTTTTTTTTTATCTTTTATAACCCATTTAAGATCTATTTTTGTACAAATACATATTATGTTTCTACTTCAAACGTACTGTTCCTAAGAATCCTCCGATTTAAATTTTGAAAAAAAACATTTGAATTCTTCATAACATTTTCAAGGCATCGATTGCGGCACAATTTTAAAATTACTTCTAGTTAATTAATTATTTCAATATAAAAAAACCAATTTTTAACTTTTCTTAACTGAAATAATTAATTAACAAAAAATATTTCTAAAATTATGCCACAATCGATGCCTATAAAATGTTATAAAGAACTCAAATCATTTTTCACATTTTAAATTGGAGTATTCTTAGGAACTGTACGTTTGAAGTAGAATCATAGGCGCAACTATGATTTACCGCACCTATATTTCAATGGGGTGCTAAAATTATGTACCGCTGACTAAACATAATTCTTATCTTCAAACCATTAGGTATAAAATAAAATAATTAAAAATAAAAATATTCTAAAATGAAAAATTTAAACAGAATATTATATACTATGTACATTATTAAAATTAATCGTATGCGTGCAAATCAAGGATTGGGGTTTCAATACGGTTTGCACCCTAAGGTTAGGCTAAATAAGACAAGTTACTATTTTAGCCTTACAAATATTATATCCTAAATATAGACATTTTTAGGTCTTTGTGTGTGTAACAGAGTGATTGGTCACATAATATGGGGCTTTACAAATAGTACATAGAACATTGGTTTGGAATCTCTGGATACGGTCAGTGTCGTAGACTAAAATAAAATCTCTATTACAGATTAAATGAAACCAGATGGCGCACTTAAAAGTGTAGTCAATGTTAACATTATCGACCGTTCATAAATAATATTTATTACTCCCTAATTTTTTGATAATATAATATATTGGGTAAACGGTAAAAATAGTTTGGAGAAAAGGGTCACATTTGAAAAAAATCCGGATAGCATATCAAAAGTACCGACAAAAGGTCCAATGATAATATTCTGTATCATACAAAAATTAATGAATAATAATTTAATAAAATATAAATGTTAGCCCAGTAAATAGTATCAAGCATGATTACAATAATATTAAAAAATAAGGTATTTTTAATATTAAAATAGTACACAATACAAAATAATACCAATATTTTTTATATTAAAATATGAGTCCTTAAATTCAATAGTTGTTATCATATTATTAATTAATCTAGAACACAAGTTTTGTAGCTACATGATTTTTTTTTTTTACTTGGCTTATCTGTCGCCTGTAGTGCTATTTTAGACTTTACGACCCGTACTTCTTGTCGCAAAATAATTGTAATAAAAAATGTAAATTTTATCATTTTCAGAGGATGTCACTTAAGCCCCCGAGCATTTTTTTGTTAACTTAAATGTAACGCTATATATATTTTTTTCTTCTTTTAAAACTACAAATACCTATGATTTCTATAGGAAAAAACAACAACTTTACACTTTACACAATGCACTTGATATTCTATAGGTAATACCTAACATTAATTTGTACATAATAAACAAAGATAACAGTTCTATAATAAACATAGTTTTTCTAGTGATAAGGAGCCTTAGTAGCCAATATGCCACCCGGACACTTTATCCGACTTTAATTAAATTGTACCTTTATTATTAAGGCTTTTTGTCCGATTCAATAAATACAAATTTTTGTTAAGTATTTTTTTCAATACACTAGTAATTATTATAGGTACCTACTTGTCTATGATTATTGGTATGCAGTTTTAACATAAGGCATTATTAGGATATTTAAATAAAAAAATTCTTTGTTATTTTTAATTAATGAATTTTTAACCTTACTTTCATTAATTTTGTTCTGTGAATCCCGTTTCATTGGTGTTTTTAAGTATAAATATTGAAGTGTTTGTGAAGATGACTGGCTCAACGAACAATTACCGATTGTTGAATGGTCTGAAAAAGGTTCAGACAATGAAGTCTGAGTAGCCGTAATAATACTTGATCCCAAAGTCGGTTTCATGTGAACGTTGTTATCATTAGTCAATGTCTGTGGTTGTTTATCTGCAGACATTTCCTCTTTTTGTCTCATCGACAATATTTCATCTAAAATGTTTAGTAGGTCTTATGGTTAAACACTATTTCATAAATAAATAAAAAATTATTTTTAACTGAATTTCTTACCGTTAAATATAGTTGGAACAGCATTAAAAGCCAATCGGTTCCTCGCATTATTGATGAACATAGAAGCTTCAAAGTGATCAGAACATACTTTTTGGCTACGCTGATTGTTTGGATCTGAATCGACTTTGCCTTGAGTCTTGCAATTGTGTATCCAAATGATTCGAATCGGCACATTATTTGGATAATTAAAATAACTCACATTCTTAGTCAAACCCGATTTATTTTTGCAGTATTTAACTGAACATTTGTTGCCATATGATTTTTTTTTAGCTGACATTTTAAAAATAACAAAATCTACACTTCACTAAATAACCAAAACAACAAACATTATACTACAAAAAAAAAAAAAATAGTTTAATATAAAATAATAAATATCGTTAAACTGTACACAAGTCGCAGTACACCCGTCCTTGGGTACCTATTCACCGAATGACTGATAAACACAATATACTACAGCCAAACAGATGTTCAGAGAAAGTGTCTACAGTGTAGACAACCTCCCTACACAGTATGATTATGCTCGTGGTTATCCGCTCATGTTGGCACCCGTGCTATTTTGCACTGAATAATAATTGTTTGGACACGTCACACAGGCGTTTTTGGCCACACATATTGTGCGCGTAGATTATATTATTGTTTTTCATATTTTTTTTTTGGATCATAGGAATATTAATAGAATGATATGTTTTACATTTTCACCAAGGTTTGTTTGCCCTTTTGTTTTTGACGAATAAGTGTAACATATTTTGGCACATTCGTATATTATGCACCTTTGACAAAATCTCTAAAAACGGGTATACACCCTTACACTTATTTAGCTTAATACTTAAATTTTATAATACCGTTAGTTGTTTTAATTGTTATCACAAATCAGTTATCAATATAAAAATTACAATTGTTCAAAAAGAGTAAAAACATAACTTAGAAATACTATGAAAGAGGTAAATTGTAATCATACACAAATTTAATTGTATTTTAATCATCTAACTTATTTTAAACAGGATCGTCTAAATGGCTTAGATCTTCTAAGCTATTATCGAGATGAATTTGCCAAAAAACCAAGAAAAATAGATCTTTTGTTATAAGTGAAATAGATTTAATGAGTTCTTTTTTCCAATCATGAACCTCCCCATAAAAAATTCCTGTCTACGCCACTGATTATTTTGATTTATTTTTCTGAAAGTTAGAGCGTGTCATATTTTATGTTTTTTTTCCATTTTGAAGGGGAACTGAGACGGGCCGGAACTGTTTATACTTTTGTCCTTATAATAGTAGGTACCTAGGTACTTTTGGTGTCCAAATTTTTATTAGGCAAATCATAAAAAAATCAGTTAAGTGGTTTAAAAATTATTGTAACAAAAACATAAACATTAAATACACATTACCTACTTATTCAAAACCATTATATCTCCATACAGTGTACCCATGACATTTTTTAAGGACTAGGTACATCACTGATTATTACTTAAGGAAATTAAGTTAAATAGTGATTTAGGTAAATAAAATACTTACTCATTTTATTTATACATTTTTTTTTAGTTCTAGTTTCAATGTTTTCCCCCTTGAGTTTGTAATCTGCAATTCTTCATATAGCTTTTATAAATTTTTGTTATATTTTAAATACAATTGTAAAAAGTACGTTTAATACTGAATGAACAAATGGGTTTCTGGGCTTTTGAACGCCCAGTTAAATAAAAAAGAATACGATTTGCTACCAAAAAAATTATTTTAATAACTATTTCACAATTTAAAATTCTGCATGAATTTGTAATTGTTATTACAACATTATGTGGATTGAAAGCGTTCTCTGTTTTAAACATTTTAGACCAAAAAACTTGACACACATTTTACTACTCAGGGTAGGCTACAACTTGTATTTTTTAAATCATATTTATTAATAAATTAATTGTTACATGTATGAAATTTTAATATTTTATAGCTGTACTTACATTTTGAAGGAAAAAAAATGGTTGAACTTATTGATTTATTAGTCCTACCATATGGCCAACAATAATGTTACATTTGAAAAAAATAGTCTTTAACTCGTTAAATAAAAATACTTATTAAACAAATAAAAGTGATTATGACCGCTTTACTTTTTAAATAAACGTTCATTCATATAGATAGAAGAAGGCAATAGACAGAAATTTGTAGGTATAAGAAAACATAAAAATTACCATTTGGTAAAAAAACCATATTAACGGTAGGTCCATTTTTGTTAAATAGAAATATCCGGATAACCAGATAAACAATTGACAAATTATTCGGATTGTATGATGGTCCATGTATTTAATCCATGTTTAAAAATAAAATTAATTTTTATACTATAAAAAGTTATTTTATTAATTTGGTTAGTCAAATACCTTCCAAGTACGATTTTTGTTCTATAAGTATAATTTATAAACTAATTTTTTTTTTTTTTAAGCACTATAGACCATTTAGGCCCTTTGCTGCCAATACTAAATTCTTCCACTCCTCTCTATTATACGCATGATTTAAGTCCCCATGCCAGTCTGGTCTCAACTCCTGCAGGTCTCTTTTGACTACATCTAACCACCGTTGCTTCGGTCTACCGCGCGGTCTTTCCCTGTTCAAATTGTTCACAAGTACCTTTTTGATAATACTGTTGTCGGCCCTCCAGACATGACCTGCCCATTCCAGTCTAGCTCCTTTAACAAATTGTACTATACTTCCTTTTCCATATAATTGTTGTACCTGTTCATTTGATCTTCTCTCCCACACTTGAGTATCAGGGTTATAGACGGGACCAAAAATTTTCCTTAACACCTTTCTTTCAAAGGTATTTAGCCTATTTTCATCTCCTGCTGTTGTAGCCCAGGTACAACATGCATATGACACAACTAGTCTGAGATACGTAATATATAGTTTCTCCTTAGTTTTTCTGGACAATAATTTTGACTTAAACAGATGTGCCATAGCAAAATAACATCCGTTTCCAGCTTTTAGACGGAGATTAATTTCATTATGCATACAGTTTCTATTATTTATGTTGACACCAAGGTATTTAAAGTCCTGTACTTGTTGAAACAGTATCCCATTAACTTCCAAGTCGGATTCATCTTCAGCATCTCGTACTTCTCTAGTCGTGAACATATATTTGGTTTTTTCCTGATTTATCGACAACCCCATATGTTTGTATACTTCCATTAGGTTTGACATACAGTTAACGGTATCCTGCTTCGTATCGCCCAAAATTATTATATCGTCAGCATAGGATAGTAAGGTATGATTTTCATTTACTTCCATTATCTGCTGCTGTGGCATTCTCCTTATCACACTTTCCAGTCCTAAATTAAATAGCACCGGTGACAACGCATCACCCTGTCTTAGTCCTTTACTTACTTCAAAAAGATCTGATAGCTCACCTTGTACCCGGACCACACAATTTGTGTTGCTGTTGCATAATTTTATTAAATTTACTATTTTAGTTGGGAAACCTAAATTTATCAAGTTTTTCCATAACTTACTCCTAATTATATTATCATACGCTTGCTTAAAATCCACAAACACTTGATGGATATTTTTGTTATATTCATAATGTTATCAATAATTGTCATTATGTTCAAAATTTATAAACTAATAGTACATAGAATTCTAATTATGTAAAGTTGGCTAAAGAAACTAGACTTATAACTACTAAAAATGATGATTAGAAATAAAATTCTATAATTGCCCTAAACTAAATAACTTTATAGTTATTCCTCTTGAACAATACGTTGCGCTATAATAGTAGATTAAATAAAAAATGTAGTATGAAACTAAATTTTTAAATTCGTATTTTTATTTACATTAAAACTGTGAATTGCATACAAACGTAAAGATTATACTCAAGGTCTAACTGAAGATATATCATACTTTTGGTAATTTATTCATAAATAAGTAATATATTCAAGATTCATAATCAGTTTCCTTATTTAAAAATAATGACAGGTCGAGTATATATTTTAACTAAAGTTAATGCCAATAAACTACAACATTTTAAAAAACATAAAATGAAAGAAACAGATAGAATGATATAATGTATTATTTAAATGAAATAAATTAAAAACATTGACGCATAAATTGTGTTGAGCAAATAGTAAAAAAAAAATTATGGAAATAGAGTTAACAAAAGTAACTAAAAGTTTTTTATTGATTAACTGCATAACACATATAGTAAAATGTCCACAAAAATACATATTTTAAGACATTTTTTAAGACTAGACATTAAAAGGCCTCTCACCAGTATGTGTCCTAATGTGTATTTTAGAATTTCCAGATTGTGAAAATGTCTTTTAAATATTTCACATTGAAAAGGCCTCTCGCCTGTATGCGTCCTTTTGTGAATTTTAAGAATTTCAGATCGTAAAAATGGCTTCTTACATGTCTTACATTGAAAAGTCCTTTCGCTCGTGTGTGTTCTTTTGTGCATATTTTCATCCCCAGATGAAATTGTCTTCAAGCCTAATTCACACTGAAATGGTATTTCGGCTGTGTGTGTCCTAATGTATTTTTTTAATGATTTGGGCAGATTTTCTTCAGTTTTAATTTGATTGCATTTAATAGTACTAAAGAATGTATTGCTAAAAATAATTGTAATACAAATATTATGATAATAACTTTATAGTAGTCAATCTTTAATGAAACATTTTTCTACAATTCTTACTCAGTGAAATCAGTATGCACATTTTCGTCCTTGATAACTGCTAAATCTTGGTTTTTTCAATTTCTATCTCAGATACAAAAAAACAATCACTGTCCACTCCATCGACCTCCTGTTTAATTACAGTCACGGTCTTTGGTGTTCTAACTGATGTCTTTTTATTTTTAATACTCGTTGTGTCGATGTCTGATCCAACAAAACTTTAAAAAACAAGTAAAATAAATTATATAATAATATTCTTAACATTTATATTAGGTAATAACAAACACAAATATTTAGCCATATATTTGGCCATGCTCGTAAAAAGTGTATTGACAATTTTTCTTAACACCTCTTTTTTATTAAAAAAGTAATTAAAAATCAGTTTCTTAAGTAAAATAATCTCTGCTTTCTGAAAAAATATCGAGTCGCATAACCAAGTCATTAAAATTAAATTTATTATCTAAAAAGTTGTTTTTCTTATGATGTTTTTTTCGGAAACATGTATAGAAAAATCGAAAAAACGGGAAATGAGCTTTGGTATGTAATTATTTCAAATATTTGAATACAATGGTAATTTTGTTGACCTGAATTTTTACCCCTTTTTATCTGTTTCTAGACGTTTTTATGGAGATCTCATATTGAAAACACACATTTTATGTAGAAGTTTTTCTGCTCATAAACAAAAAATTGGAAAACATCTCAAACTTTGGGCAACAAAAATAAACAACTTTTTAGATCATAACATAAATTTTAATGGTTTTTTATTAAGTATACATATACTCAGTCTGTATTATATGATGTAAGGCCATTCAATTGTTTTCACTTGCTACAAGAGTAACACAAATTGTTGATATAAAACGGATTCTTATTAAGTTATTAAAATATTAAAAGAAAAAAAATTATTCGAATAACGTTGAAAAAAATCGTATAGTTCTTAGAACTTTTTTTTTGAAATATTAACTTTGTACGAAAATGTGATTAGAGAATCAAATTTTTTTTTTTGTAAAAAGGTAATTTTTCAAAAAATTATTACATAAAAGATACTTCTTAAATTTTATTGATTTGCGTTTATAATAATACATTGTAAAAATGAAATTTATTAGCCAATGTTAATTAGTATATAACATGATATGATTTAAAAATAACAAATGAAGTCATGTTCATTGGAATAGTTAAACATAACAAGGTGGTTTTAGCATAAATGTTTAATAATCTTATAGGGATGCGCACAATTAATAGATAGACTTGCCGTTTATTTTTATGAAGTTTGCGCAACGTTTTGCAGCTCATTCGATCATTCAACATTCAATATTTAATTTTAGTTAATTAGAAAAATGATACATATGAAAACGTTTTATAAATCAAAATATTATATTGTAGGTAAAAATATATTATGCGTTATTCGTTAAAAAAATTAAACATCTGCAAAAGAATTACTGACAAAAGCAGTTTATCTGACAACTGATAATTCGTGATAGAAACCAAAAAATACATAACCTCAAATTATTTGTTGTGCCAATGGAAATTTCACAAAAACCCGCCAAGAGTAAATTGTTTTTTTTTTAAATAAATAAATTTTCTTGTATTTAGCTTTTTCAAAATTGTATCAATGCGTTAATGAAAATTGTATGCTCGATAAATATTGTGTACGTTTAATATAAATTTAATAGGTACACTTTTTTCCACACAATATTTTAGATTATTATTATAGAAATAAAATGTTCGTTTCTTCTTTTATTTATTTATTAAATAGGTATAGATGATAGAGTATACCCATAATAAATAGCATAATTTTTAACATAAATGTAGAGAACAAACAACAACCCTTAAGAAAAGTCATAGCATATTCCTCTAAATTCACTAAAATGTTGATCAAAAGTTAATGGTACCACAGATAAAACATGATTTTAAAATAGAGTAACTTGTGTGTGTTTGTTAATCCATAATGGATAAAACAAAACCATGCTACTACTATTTTTCTTATAGTTATATTAATATAAATGTTTGTACTTTAATCAATTGTAAATAAATATGGCTATATTGTACAAATAAGAAAATTTCGATTCTTTTTGCGCAACAATAATCAAATAAAAATGTAAATGTGTAAAATAACATGTAATCATTTGACAATAACCCTAGCATAATAATCAATGGAAACATAATTGTATAAATTTTATAATAAAATGTAAAAGTCTTCTATTTAATAGTAAAATATGTAAATAATTATATCATTTCTTTTTTATCTTAATATCAAAACGATTTTTTTAAATACTCTAATACTAACACTATGACCTATTTACCAAAAGTAAAGGACCAAGCATAAAAACAACTTAATAAATTATTGTAAAATGTATATAAGTTTTAAACTAAGCATATACAATTTAAAAAAAAAACTGGACGAATAATTCCTGAATGTATATTTTAACAGAGTGTCTGCAGAATTCAGTCGACATTGTATCGAGTCAACAAATGATAACTGTTATAGCTTTACTAGCTGTTAATCGGATATAAGACATAAATAAAAACGATAAAAATATATATATTACAGCGACATTTTCAACTGTGGCAAAACATGCTATAGAACATATTATCAGCATCAGACCCAAATTTCTATTGTGGTACTTGCTTGATGTTTTCATGATTAAATATAATTTTTTAAGTATAAATTGTTCAAAAAAAAATAAGTCCATTTTGGAAAAAAATATTTATTCACCCATTACTATTGTATGAGAAAAGGAGCGTTTTGAAGAATAATGGAAATGGAACGTTTTGACTAATATTGAAGGAAATAGTACATTATGCAATAAATTTATGTGTAAGATATGCTGATAACTTTGGAAATGGCACGTTTTGAAGTAAAATGGAAAAAGAGCGTTTTGCCTTAAAATGACTATACCATTCGACTCCCCATACAATTTACCATAAGAATCAATGTACATCTCAATTTTCATAAAAATGGAAAAAGTACGTTTTGGGTTGAAGCCGGATATGGTCCTGACAGTGATTTGTAAAAGAAAATATTATACTTAAACTTATAGACCGTCCCCAACTGGCGTGTCTATTGGTTCTACCGCGACGAGTGGTTGAAAAACAAACAGGTACGCCCGCAGTGGATCGCCAAAATGGCCGACGCCGTACCTCCGTAAGACACACACGGCCGCCATTACGCGGCCGCCGCCGGCTGCGCGCTTACCTTGTTGCTTTTGTCACGTTATTTATGAAATTTCGCGTCGCGTTCCGGTGAATTCCGAGAACCCGGCGAAACGGTGATAAGGAATCCGTTCCGGATATTATACAGCTTATCACAAAAAAGAGAATCATGGCGGCCATCTTTCGCTATTAACCGTGTACAGATATAATTATATTAGGCCAAACGCGAAGATGACGGCCTCCATCCGTTAAATCATTGCTCACAACGATCGGAGTGTCCTCTCTTCACGATATTATTGCTGGTAGTCGGTAGACGACAACTTTTTGTAAAAAAAAAAAAAATAATGTTATTAGCTGTTATTACCGTTCGTTTTTCGTACTTGGAACCGGTTTCAAAGTTTATTTATTTATTCAAAGTTGAATAAAAATAAAAATATGAGTATTTACGTCGTCGCAACTTGCCGTTTACGCGTAAGATTTCTTTTTTGAACGACAACGATAATTTTCTGTGATATTTTGTGTCTCGGCATAATGTTTTAGTGGTTTTTAAATTTTTGTCCATACAAACCCGTTTATAATTATTATTAGTCTAGTTTTATCTATCTCGTAGTCTTGCAGGATGTTAACGTTATATTATTACTTAAACCGTAGTGTAGTCGGTAGACGAGTACCTGTATTATATTACTATGTAATTTTAATGTCGCACGCACAAAACCTGTAGATTGGTAATTAAACGCTAATATTATAATATATTTAATAAAAAAAAAAAAATTAGTTTGTATTACAATATGTATTGTTTAATTGCTCAGGTACGTTTTTGCAACGTACAAAACACGGTAGTGTAATTTGTTTGAAAAATTATTACATCAGACTATACACAAGTGTAGTAGTTGTAGTTGTAAACAAGTAAAATTGTATATGTAGATTTCAGGTAACTATGAGAACTAGGTTTATTTTTATTTAGACAATATATTTATTTGTATTGTAACCGTTTGTTCAATGTTATATAGTGTTTTTATATTATAGTCAATTTTAGCGATTGAGAATGTCATCGGAAAACGATGTTTTAACACCGTTGTTCGACAGCCAAGAGGAATTGAGCAGTCAAGATTTTGCGACTTTGCCGAACGACGAGAGAGTGTGGGGCAGACTTTACCCCATGGTTAGAGATTTAAAAGTCCAATGTGAGTGTTTTTCTTTCATCTTAATTGATTCATGGATGTATTTTTATTTCATTTGAGCCCGACACACTTTAGGTTTGATAGACAGCTCGTATATTGCTGGTCGTCAGGCTGGTTGCGACATCATATTTTCCGACCAGTGTATAAGCAACAAGATCGCGCACAACGTCAGTAAGATACACTTTCGAATAGACCGTGAAGTCATCAATAATCGTCACATAGTGTACTTAACGGATTTAAGTGTAAACGGCACTTATTTAAACGGAGAAAAAGTCGGTAAAGGAAATCGTAGGATGATGTCCAACAAAGACACAATATCTCTTATTGTACATAATTATTTGGGTACTTGCATTTTTTTCTTGTTTTTTGTGCTAACATTTCAAAATATTTTTTTTTCTAAATTATTGTTGTCAATTTACAGTTTACCTATATTCAGACTTGAAGAAAGCTAACGAAAGCTTTCCGGAAGACATAATGAAACAATTTTTAGTGTTATCAGTATTGGGACGCGGAGCTTTTGGAGAAGTCCGCTTAGCGTTTGACAAAGTAAATGTACACTATATTTTTCTACCCAAGTACAATGTATTTGCTGTTAATTTTACTGTATAAATTATGTACTAAAAATGCATATTTTTTTTTCGCCGAACAGAAGACGACAACTAGATTTGCATTGAAGACGGTGAAGAAAAACCGTCAAGTTGATGTTCACGCAGAAGCTCGTATATTGCAGAAAGTTAACCATGTTAGTATATTGTCATGAACGTCTCTGTTTACTAGGGCAGAAACCTGCCAGTGAAAAAGATCGGCCATTCACCTTTGCGGCGACAGACAAACGATCCGTCCCAACAAAGTGAATGTCTTGAGAAACCTTTTCAGAAAAGGGCTGCGTGAACTGAAAAAAAAAAAAACTATTTACAATAACGACGTGTCTAATGTGTTTTGTTTTAGGCCAACGTCGTTCGAATGTTGTATGTGATCGATACAGCCGATATACTTTTTATGGGTCTCGAGCTTATGGCTGGCGGCACGCTGCGAGAGCTCATACAAGACACCGACAGACTGTGCGAATTTGATGTTAAAATTATTCTATATCAAGTGGCTCATGCCATGTATTATTTACACAATCAATACATAACGCACAGAGATTTGAAAGTAACAATTTTTAACGTTATTCATAATACAAAATGTGTACAGTGTACACATAAATCCGGTTAACAAACGGTTATTATTCATTAGGTATGTATGTATGTTTTTATTATTATTTTTTTTTTTATTATGTAGCCAGCAAATATTTTACTGACCGAGAAAAAAGCCAGGTGTATCGTGAAAGTAGCCGATTTCGGTTTATCCAAAATGATCGATCAGTCCACGTTGCTGATGACTCGTTGTGGATCACCTGCTTATACGGCTCCGGAAATTTTGAACCTAGAATGTTATGAATCGTACACTAACAAAGTGGATACGTGGAGCTACGGAGTAATTTTATATGAATGGTATTGTTATAATATTTGCGTTTCATTAGTTGGTTTATTAATGAATTTTTTAGATGATGGCAGGCATGTGCCTAAACGCTAGTCTCAGTAAGGCCCATATAATTTTAGAAATTTTATCAATTATAGAAAAATAACTATTGCTGTTTAACTATTACCAACTTTTTTTATTTTATACTTTAAAGTCTAAAAAGCTTAAAAACCTTGTCAATTTAATTGGTGTGACTTTTATTATGAAAGTCTATGTAAAAAAATATAAAGTAATATAGTAATAAACTTAAAATCTATAAATTGTAATTTAGTTTCATAATTCTCTAAAAGTAATCTTTTTAAACAAGGCCATTTTTTATTTTTTTGAGAGCTATATTTTAAGTGCTAATAGTTCAATTGCTTTTGGAAATGTTTTAAATTTTTAAAGATTGAGTCTTCCAAGATTTTTGAAGTTTTTGAACTGTGTAAAGTGTTGATCGCCTGTGTTAGTGATTATTATAAATAGTTATTGTATATAATTTGTGTAAAATAAGGAAAATTAAATATGGTATTAAAAAAAAAATGATTTGTTGTCTGTTGAAACGATGAGACCCTTTGAAAATATTCGTCCAAACTTTTTTTTTAAGAACAGGTCTAAAATTGCATATTATTATATTTTTAATCAATTTTATGGCCCGTTCTTCAATTGAAATACTAACTAACCGTGAAACTAAGCTGAATGGATATTTATCGGTTATAAAGCGATACATCGTATATCGTTTAAAAATGTGCTGTTACGCTATATTTTTTTTGTTTTACGTTGAATAATACTATAAATACTATAAATAAATATTACTAATAAATACTAGAATAAATATTGAATTATTTCAAATTATTGTGCATTAATTAATTAGACATAGGAAATTTGTTTATTTAAATTATTACTACCAAACAAGAGATTATTTTTAAAGTACTGTTTCTTGATATCAAATATCTACGTACACCATTTTGGTTAAAAATTAAATTTTCAATAATCATTTTATTACTACTATACACTTGAAATATACATTTTTGGTAGTAGAATTTTTCTAATAATTTGTATAAAATAAGTTATAAGCGCAAGTGCTATGATAAGTTATTGTTTTGTTTTTTGTCAACAGTTTGACCTTGTCGAAACCGTTCTCTGGTCGAAATCTAGCGTTGAAAATACAAACTTTATCGTACCGACAATCGCCGCAGTTATTTCCGTCCATTAAAGCGTTGGATCTGATTCAAAAGTTGTTGGTCATCGATCCGTATCACAGGTACAATTTTCACAACGTCATCGGACATCCGTGGTTGAAAGACAAAAGGATGAAGAACCTCGTCGCGGAACTGTCGAAAGACTCGGAGTCTGAAAGTCAGAGTGACACGATCAATGACGACAATAGTTATAACGGTCCGTTGTTTATGTACGACAAAAGGACGCGTTTGTCCGACAGTATTAGTCCATAATTGGGACTTTTAAACATTTGTGTTTTTTTATTGTTACGTTATTTGTTTTCCGTTTATAAATTTTGAGAAAAATTTAACCATAATTTATTAGATCCTGTTAAAAAAAAAAAAAACATATATATATATATGTATGAACGTGTCGTGTTTTTTTTTTACAAATATTATTTATGTTGATTGTTCTTTTTTGTTATGTATACATATAATATGAAAATGTTAAGCGACGTATTAATACTACGTCCTGTTATTATTTGTTCGAGCCGAATCGTAAAAATGTTTTACAAAAAATAAACAAAAACAAATTTTAATAAAATGGAAGTAGTTTTTATTTCTTGATAAAATGTATTTTATTAAATACCAATATTAAAGTCTTACACAAATCGTTGTCGTATAATAAAAATGTATATATATATATATATAATTTACTTGGGATCATTGAGAAGGGATTGTCGACGGGGGAATGCGTACACTGACAGAATTATTAATATAATCGTAAACGTCGAGTGTATTCTATTACAATAAAATAAGGGTCGTCTTAAGTAACTAGATAGAACTTAAACTCTGTAATAAATAAAAGTGAAAGATAAAAAATAAATAAAATTATAAATACAAAAAAAAAAAAAACATAACATAAATCAGCAGCAGTGAGAAAATTTGTTATATATATATAAAAAAAAAAAAAGTACGAGCAACTAAAAAACATCAGCATCAACGTGGATATATTTGATTGAGAATTGCGCATTCGACTAAAACAAATCTAACTCGAATACGTTTCTCGTTCCAAACTCTTTTTATTTTACACGATTGGGGACAAACGTCGTAGCAAACATTAATAATTTTTTTCTTATTTAAAAAAAAAAAAACAATAAAATACAACTTTACAATATAATCATAATTATTATTATAGTCATCGTAAAAACAATTGGTTTTACATAGTAATATATTATCTTCTCTTTCGAACACACGCTATACATTATCCTATATATACTCGTCTAAACGATATTTACCCGCCGAAATTTACACAGTCAAATTGTAATTTTTGGCCGTCAACACCGTTTAAGACGCACTTGTGTTGTGTGATGTTAAAGTTTTCTCGTTGAATGACGTGACTACTATACATATGTACTTTGTTTTAGTTGAGAAATCTCTTTTTAAAAATTATCATTAGTCTTTAATTATCAAAATAGTTCATCGATGACTAGAGTTTTTTTTTTAAATATTTTGTAGTATCAAATTTAACACTCGTCTTATAGGAGAATAAAAGTATGAATTTTTTTCTCGATAACGGTAGATCAACTCGTTTGTAATAAAAAAAAAAACAAACACATTTTATCACAAACGTTTCGTAAAATTGTGCGAGACCGGCGAATTTTTCTTCTTATTCTTTTACCTCGTTGTTATTTTAACAAAGTAAAAAACATTATAATCAAAACAAATAACAACGAGTCGATCATCAGTATTAAAATGGTATACGCCGCATTAAAGTTAAAAAAAAAAAAAAAAACAACAGACCTCGCACAGTATTAACGTAACCGAAAACTTTGGCATCAATCAGGTCTATACAATAATAATATTAGTCATACGGGTATTAATATACATTATATATTATAAATCTTAATAGTAAATTATTATTTTTTTTTTTGTCAAATCTAAAAAACTACAAAAGTGCGCACGATTCGACTGAAAAATCTCATACTTGTTTCTTGTTGAATTTTTTTTTTTTTTTTAATACACACAATAAATACTAAACCACGGTAATGGCAAAAATAAAAACCCACGTAAGGTTAAAATCGTTTTTTTTTTTGACAATCGTAACGGTTTTTCTTTTCGATCGATAATCTCCGGCAACAAAAACAACGTATGGTTTTTCGTAAAATAAAAAATTACAATTTCTAAAACATGCAAGAAAAAAAAAAAAACAACAAAATTTAACGCGTCAAAAAGAACGTCAGGATGGTCGCAAGAGCAACAGAAACCCATTTTTTTTAACTCTTATTAAAAAAAACTTATAATAATAATAATAAAAAAAAAAAACATAATACGAATTGATATATCACGACTGCTGCTTTGTTGTAAACATTTTTAATTCGTGATAAGATCTTTACGTATAATATATTATATAAATATATAAATTTAGGGGGGTTTGCAAGGGGAGGTGATGGGCGTTAGGATGAAAAACAGTTAAATAAGTTAAAGTATAAAGAAATATTACCCGAAAAACGGTCAACGTGAATCGAGCGTACGGTAGAATGAAAGAAAAAAATCACTCTGGGCACAACTGATCGAGAACGATAAAAAAAAATTATTTGTTGAATTATTTTTGTTTGATATATTTTTTTTCTCTAATTATATAATAATCATTTTTGTTTTTTTTTTGTTTTTAAATAGGTTTTTATTTTATTCTACGGCTAACGTTATACATTAAAAAAAAAAAAAAATTTACTAATACGGAAGAATAAACAAACCGTTAGCCAGTCTTATATGGAAACGCAAAACTGGTAACGAATCGAGGAATCATTAAATTAAATTTAAAAATTATTACTAAAGGAGAGGGCTCTGTTCGAAATGTAACCATCGTCGAAGTCTGTGATAAATTAACGCTAAAGGATATTTTTTTATACTTCTAGTTTGATTACATATAATAATAATATGGACCTCGAGTCATATACTGCTTGTTGTTGTTGTTGTTGTTGTGATTGTGAATAGGGTAAGGCTGTTTTTCTCATATCACAGTATCACAGTCAATTGTGGTGGTGTCTACCATCAGACGTCGGAGCGCCGTAATGATGTTCATACAAACCTGCAATCGATGAATACAAATTGTTAAATTGTTCAATTATAGTATATATCCCTCCACCAAAAAATGAGTATTTTAAAAAGCATAAATTCATCGCCTCCAAAACAGTCAAGAGGTAATAAAGGTGATAAAATCACTAACAATGCAAAACTGTCAAAACAAATAAGTATAAATCAGGCTTTATGGTAAGTACATTTTTACCGATCAAACACAACATGTGTTTTATTGTTATCAAAACTCAATGTCTATATTTTATGTGTATCCAAAGAGATATACTGCCAAGTGGCCTTGCTTTTGTAACAATACTAGTTGTAATAAAATGTCAGATTAAATACCATTAAATTATTACAATATTTAAATTTTTTTTCAACATTATCATAAGCAAAGGGAAAACTGCTGTGTTGATTTTGTGAATTTAATGATTTTTTTAAATACTTGATTTTCAATTGATGAACATGTTTAAAAGTAGTTTTGTACAAAGTTGATGGTAACATTTTAGATATCTCAATACAATACAATATAATTTAAACACATAAGTTATGATTGGGGTACTAGGCCAAAAATGTAATAAAAATTGTTTCTTAATAATAGTATCGTTTTAGCGGACGCACTCTTACGGCTGACGTACCTTTACTCGTTATTTCTTCCATGGTCAGTTCGGTGCATTCGGCTCCCGTATGATTTTGTCCGCCACAATTGTAACAAGACACCTTGGGCGGATGGTAAGTCAAGACCGGCGGCTGCATCAACACTGGAGTCGTGTAAAAGGTTTGAGATGTTGACGGGTAGTATACGAATTCGGTGGGCTGGTACATCGGCTGGTACTCCGGAGACTGAACGACGTGTTGCTGCTGTACGTAAGGCCGAGGTACCGACTGGTAAGTGGGCATCGGCTGAGGTCCGGGCGACTGATGAACGTAATACGTTTGTGTGTTGTACGGCCTGGGTCCGGAGCCGTTGTCGTAAGCCATGGTGTAATAATGCTGACCGCAGCCACTGTTGTTGACACCTCCTTTGGGATGAAGTTTGCTCGCTGCGTTGTCTCGATGCGACTCGTTATACGGTGGTACGGCTGCTGCTAAAGATTTTCTGTAAACGTAGAAAATTATAATCGATTAACGATCAAATGTAAACATTTTACCATATTTAATCGATAAATTTTGCAATTTTTAAGTTTTGTTAAAAAAAAAAAAAAAAAAAAATAAGTTACTTGGTTATTTGTTATAAGAACCGATACAAGATAACGGACTGAAAGTACGAGCAAACTTATAAAACAAAATAAACAATTCAACAGTTACAGGGGACACAACAGCTGGAGTCTCACCGATTGTAGTTATACGCCGAGCCGTTGTTGTCACGTCCCACATTTCTCATCTGAGACTGTATAGGACGACCTTTGTAATACTTGGTGTTATGCAAACTGTAAGTGTTGGCGACCGTAGTGGAAACGATTGGCGGCTTAATAGAACCTCCAGTAGCGGTTTCTTTACCTTCACAAACTTTGAGATTTGTTTCGACTGCCGGTCCGATTTCTATAGATCAAATTAATCGTACATATAGATTAAAGTAATTTAAAAATTTTAAGTTATTATTTTATAATAATTTTCAAACAATATTTCCTAAGTATGTATAACTGTAATATACAAAATAATAAGAAAAAAATATAGCTAACAAAAAGGATGTCATATCATAAGCCTGTAGAGTCTTTACTTTTAGATATCGTAAAGAATATTTTAGCGTCATCGGCAAAAAGCAATATCCAACACGGAGAAACAATAGAAAAAAAGCATTTATAAAAATGTTAAACAAAAGTTGTGATGTATTGAATTCCAATACTACCCCTTTAATTCCTCACTTTCCCCCCTTATTCTTTTCATTAAATCCCTAATCTATAGCTCTTCTTTTAACTTCCATTGTCCTTCCGTTAACGTCCTCCTAATATCCTTCCTTTCTAAATTCCCATAAATTGTAATATTATTATTTATTGTATATAGTTATAGAATTGTTGTGCTGTAATGTTGTTCAATAATAGCACATTAAAAAAAAAAAGAAAACCTTTTTATTGAATTATCTTATATCCGTGCACAGCTGTTAAGTGGCTCCTGGATCTTACTAAATAAGTTATAGGCTTAAAAGAAAAAAAGTACTGCCAATATTTTAGAAAAAATTATTTTCCAGAAAGGGTTGGTACTAAAAATTGAAAAAAATGTAAGATAAAGTTCAGAAAAATGTGATTTAAAATTTAGTGTCGATAATAACACTTGTTATCGATTGCACCCAAACCTAGGCATTTTTTTTAAAAACAAATTGCTATTTGAATTTTTATTTAGCCCATCAAATTATTTTTTATTTAATGTATCAAAATTAATTTGTAGTTACAGTTTTAAATTTACAATTATTCGATACAATTATTTATTTGTAATTTCAAATAATATTTTTTTGTTTTATCCGACTGTTTCAAATACCCTGGGAATTTTAAATAAACTTTATTTAAGTAATTTTTTTATTTGCGTTTTACTTAAATAAATTATTTTTTTTGTTATTTGAAAATGTACATTTAGTTCGGTTTTTATTTGGAATTTTTTATTTTAATATCAGTTCATAATAAAAATAAAAAATTATTAGCCATTCATGCAACCAATAGTTTCACTTTGCCGATTTACCCGCTTGTTGCGCCACCGATTTCTTCAACTCACTGGTGGTTTGTTGTACGTTGTCAGATTTTGGCTGCGACGACTTTTCGTTGGCGTCCTTAGTAATAGTTGGGGCAGTTGCGTTATCCGTAGTCTTATTTTCATCCACCAAGGCGGCCGAGAGGGTGGAGAGATCAATATTGGTAGTTTGTTCATTTATTGCATGGCCTTGATTGGGCGTCACGTGGGGTTGTTGCGTATCTTTGCCGTGATCCGGCTGCACCTTTGCGGGCGGGTACGTTTTTTGCGATGCCGCCAGATTGACCTTTGACGGGATTTGAACATTATCGGTGTTATTCTTGTTGTCAGCGACAATCGTTTTTTGATTGTACGGTTTGGCGGCCCCAGGGGGAGGAGTTTGATACTGAATAGGTTTGGGACCCATATAAGGGGTTTGTACTGAAGTTTTGGAGGCGATTTTGTCTGCCAGTGACGCAGGCGGTACCGCAGGTCTAATGGAGCCGGGTTGATTGACTTCGTTCGATTTGGAACAATCAGACGACGCTACTTGATCGTGCGCATCCAACGAGGAATCGTTATCTTTTTCCACATTTGTACTTATCTGCATAGGAGGTTTACCATTCTTGATGGTAGCGCTTGGCGGTTGTTTCAGTGGTGGTGTGCACGGCTAGTTGAAACAAATCAAACGTATCGATAGTTAACGTACATCGTTTAAAATAAAAATATTAACAACCAGGATATAGATTTTTAGGTTTTTACACAGCTTTTGCAGTTAGGTTAGATTAGAGTAAGTTTATAGTAAAGATATAAAATCTACTTGAACCCTAAACCATAAAAATTATACACTTCTTGCATACACGTGTTACGACAACGATGTTGTCATCTTCAGCGTTAACAACAGACTGAGTCAGACAGCTCAGTCTGTTGTTAGCGCTGAAGATGACAACATCGTTGTCGTAACACGTGTACGCAAGAAGTGTATAATTTTTATGATTTAGGGTTCAAGTAGATTGTATATCTTTACTATATATTTAACTATAAGTTTGCTTAACAGTTTTTTCTAGAGTAAGTTTTTTATTCGTTAGGTTAAGTTTGAAATTTGTTCATATATGCCAAGTCTTTTTTGCATATTTCAGAGAACGTTAAGCTCATAGGTACAATGTTTTTTAGAATTAATCGTAAATTGTATGGGCGAACAATTAAATACATCATGAACGTGATAAAACAACATAAGTTAATCGGATAAAGTTTGGATTAAAATTCATATTTTACTCTCACATAAAAACAACCATTTTTTTTATTTACTTAACAAAATAACTTGAGTAATGTAAATTTGTTTTAATCTTGTTTATTTTTTTAATGTACAAAATGATAGTCTGATTTTGGAAAATTTATCTAATGATATTATAAAAAATATAATACTTAATTTAGATGTATAAATATTTCATGTTAATTGGATACATCATGTAATTAAAATGTAAGTAAGGTAAACTTTACTCACTTTAGGCTCTAATATATTTTGTTCTATTAATGTCGTTTTAGTTTAAATTAAAGTTTTTACTTAACTATGTATCATTAAAAAAATAACCTCCATAATATTAAAAAAATTATTTTGCTTAAAAAAGCATATTTTAATGTTAACTGAATAGTTACATGTTTTCCTTATTTTAAAAAGAACTAATGATAGAAATCTTTTAATTTTTTTTTTTATAATATACATTTACACCAAAAAATCCATACACTAATAATGACTTAGGTAAACAAAGTATTTACCACCGAAACTGGTGTTTGCGCTTTGAACTGGTCTTGAGATCTATTCGTAAGAGGTACGTGTTTAGGTTTTGCTCCGTGGCCTTGGAAAGTCCGAGCCGCAGCGTTATCATGATAGAAAGGAGGAACCTGAATAGAACAAATGAAATAGATTTTTATGACAATCAATTATCCACAGAAACATAATAAAAAATATAACAATATCTTAAATGTCCACATGAAAACACAAGTCTTTAAGATCTCCAACAGGGTTGTTTAAATTAAATTTTGTCGGAAAAGTTTTGCTCTAACCAACCTTTCTTAATTGTTCTTTATAGTAATAAGTAAATTTAAAAATAATATTTTTTTGGCCTACCATCCCAAGCCGGTATTTTATAATAATTTTTTGAGATTTAATAAATTATTATAACTAGTTTGGCTTTCTTAACCAGATATATAGGCTGCTATAAGGCCTAGTTCGGTCAACTCTGACAGTTTGTTTTACTCTTTCTAGATATTTTGCTGCTTAGAAAGAGTGCCTGTTGTGACGGAGTATCCAACAAGTGACAACAAGCGCTAACGCAATGCTGCCTTACGTCTTCAGTCACTTGTCCTACATAACATAAGAACTTGATTGATTGGGTTGGGCTCGAAATTAACTTTTTAATGTTTTATTTTGTATTTTAGAGATAACTTTTAAATGTTGAAGAAATATATGTCCTATATTAAGTGTTTATGATCAGTCTACAGTAAAAAATAAATTAGTTAATTGGCTTAGTATAAGCCAACATTTTTTTTTTTAACTTACTTTTATACATAAAAGAACAATTAAGAGGGAAGTTAAAAGCAAACTTTTCAAAAAATTTTGTAGCTGAATATTTGAATGATAATATATTGAGTAAAAATAGTGTTGAAATTCAATTTTAACGCCAAAATAATTGAGATTTTTAGCTTATTAAATAAAGTAATACTATGTGATGAAATAAAATATACTAATCACAAAAGCAGTGAAATTACCACTCGAGTAAAGAGAAAAGTTTTGCTATGTAAAAATCTATTTTGAAAAATAATATGTATTTTTTTAAATTGAAATTTGTATACGATAATAAAAAAATCACAAATTACCGCTCGTTCTGTGAATAGATTTTAGTCCATTAAAAAGAGTAATTAAATATCGTTAACAACCGTGGCAAAAAAATTGGATGCGAGTCAACGATACTTACCACGCTGGGGCTAAAGTTGTAGTTGGTGTACATGTTTTGAGGCGACATTTGGTACATGTTCCAGCTGTTCCAGGACTGTGGGAATGGTAGACCAGCGTCGGGAGGACTACGGAATCTCGGCGGCGTCGGATGTCGTTGTTTCGTAGCGCTATTCGGCGGTGGCGGCGGAGCCTGGCTGCGCGGATTGTTTATTTGGAATGTACGCGGAGGAGGCCACGAAACCGGACTAGGTGACTTTGTGAAACTTGCCTGATGCGGTCCTCTGATGGCCGATATCACTTGCGGAGTCGGTGGCGGCGGAGGGCCTGCCGGAGGAGGATAATCATGACAGACCTGCATCGGAGGTACATTCATCGGGGGACAGGGAAAAACTGAAAAACAATAATAACCACCAATTAGGTAGTGAAAAAACGGAGAACAAATAACAGCGGTTCAACGTTCACTTACAATGGCGTGGATAAACGTAGCCGTTCCTGTTCAGAGGGAAATTCGATCCTCCGTGAGTTTGTTGATACAAGTAATTTGGCGGCGGTATCATGGTGTTAATGCTCTGTAAAATAAAAAATTATAAATTGGTTTCAATAAAAATACTATAACAAATAGTTTTTGCCAAAAAAAAAAAAAAAAAATGATTTGAATAAATATAATTCTTTGGAAAATTGTATGTTTGATAGATTAACTTAGTTTTCCAGTTTTTAATTTAAATGCTAAAACTATTCAGTTACCAAAAACCCGTGAGTAAGCGTTTTTGTAGGAAAACACCTAAATGGTTGTCTAGGTTAAGTGGGATACTGAGACCAAGTAAAAATACCAACAACGATTTCTCTTTCTAATAAAATAAATAGGAATTTAAGTTAAGAGAAGAAAATTTATACATAACCAAAAAAATGTTATGCTTGAATATGTTTATAGTTTGATTTTTTTATAGCGCAGCAAGTTCACTAATTCCTAGTCATCTCTACTCCAAAAAATATGCTTATAGTAAATAACTAACTAAAAATAAAAATTTTTTTTTTACATAATAGTAAATTAACGCCTTGTTAAAAAAATCTCCACTCTATCTGAAAATTAATTATCTATAAACACGGGACGTTTATTTTCTTTCTTAAAAAGTAGTCATTTTAGAATCGAGGCACCATAAAGAGCTAAAATAGATTAAACCACAAATTCATTGTTTTTAGAAAAAGCCAATTAAATTGTTTTGAACGTCATTACTGAAATGCTAGCGCCAAGCAGTAGGTAAAACAATTTTTTTTTTTTGTTGAAAGCCAAGTCATTAAAATAAGATATTTTTAAGTTACACGGGTGTAACATAGGTTAGAATAAATAATTATCAAAGTTCAACAGCTTGCAACAGTGTCAATAATTACACAAGATAATGTTATGAACAAGTACTTATTTACTAACAAATGATAACATTTAATCCGTCAAAAAACTTTATTCGTTACTTTAAAAATAAAAGATTTATTAAACAATACAAAATTGAATTACTTAATTTGTTTACTGGAGATATTAAATAGACAAAAAAAGCAAATTACTCTTTACACGAGTCATCTTGCGACACAACAACATTCTTAAAAAAGATCCACATATAATAATTATAACTATTTGTTTAAATACTTTCCATAAATAATAAATAATAAAAATAAAATATTTCTTTAATTTTTATTAAAAAAAAATTTCGTAATTTTTTTAAAAAAAAATGTTATGTAATTTTTATACTTGTGTTTAAATAACACAGAAGTAATTGTTAAAAAATCCTAATCTGGTACAACTATTTGTTTAAATACTTTCCATATATAATAAAAATAAAATATTTCTTTAATTTTTAATAAAAAAAAATGTTAAGTAATTTTCTTTAAAAATAAAATTGCATATTTTAAATATTTTTATACTTGTGTTTAAATAACACAGAAGTAATTGTTAAAAAATCCTAATCTAGTATTTATACCAATTATCTGTAAATAACAAATAACTGTGTTCAACAAATTACAATACTATAACGACTGGGTAATTTCAAATGAAAAAAAAAAAAAATTTGTGATAACTTACCAAATAATAAATGCTCAAATAAAAAGTGAATTTTTTTTTTCATTATTTATTTAGATAATAAATCACGAACGAAGCTCAACATTGGTTGACGTTATCAAAATGACAGTAGTTTGTTTTCATTTTCGATATTATAAATAAATTTTGCCAAGGATAATATTTGGAAAATCTATAAATAAAAATGTTTAGACCTTGTGCATTTATTAAAAAAAAAAGTTGAAATAGTAAAAGTCCGAGTATAATTTCAGTTCAAGAACAAACAAAATAAACAGTCGCGTCAAAAAACAAACACAGCATCTAATAGTTTTTTTTTTAAACATCTTGAGCAGTTTAAATATATAATGTTTGGTTCTCATTATGGACGTAAGAAATTCTTAGTCTTTAAATATATTTTCCCCTTCAACATTCAATCCACGTTCTATTCTAAAATTATCCCAGTACCTTACTATTTATACATAACGAACCAACAAACTCATTTTTTTTTTTTTGGCTTCTTTCTTCTTTTTAATACTTATGGATTTTTTTCAGAGATTGTAAATGTTTACGAGCCAAAAATAACAATACTATTCGTTTTAAGTATAGCATAATATAATGTTGATTTAAAAACGATTAATAGTATGTAAAACTTAAAAGTAATATATTTTAGTGCGACAGCAAACCAAGTCGTAAGTTATCGCAATGCCGTAAAAACAATTTAAGAGCCTATTACTGGAAATCAGCTGTGAAGAACTTGGTTCAATTTGCACCGAACTCTCAATAATATGAAAACAAACTTGCACAATATTCCTATTCTATCGATAAATAATATATTTTATTAAAAAGACACATCGTTTAATTTATTGCAAATTCGTAACCTCTATACTCTATTCAGAATAAGAACAGGCTTCGGCGGCCGACCAGTTTTAGTCGGGCGGCGGTCAGGCATCGCCCGCCCATTTTACATTTCGTCCATAGCCCCCACCGGCGGCAGTGTTCGAGGTCCGTTGCTTGTAGTGAAGCCACGCCCATGCGCACAAGTCGGCCGCCGAAGCCTGTTCTTATTCTGAATAGAGTATGGGATGTAGTTTTATTTGTTAAAAAAAATGCTGTTGTGTTATGTACATTTTTTAAAATAAAACTACTTCAAGTTAATGTTAAAAAAAAAGAAGTAATATATATTTTTTTTCAACTGAAGTTTGGCCCATTTATTATGTAAACATTGACAAAACCGGCTAAGATAAGGTTTTTATCATAGAAAAATTAGGTCTAATATTATTATTATATAAGTAATAATTTGATAGTTCAAAAGATTAATCATATCACCCTATGTGATGTCGGACATTTTAAATAATAATCTAAACCTTGATAAAAATAGAAATAAAAATGAATTTTTAATAATATATTACTTTTCTAATGAGTTTAAAAAAATGTTTTGTACGTTTGAAATATATAATAGACAAGAACTAAATAGTGCAACGTAAAAAAAAAAATAAAAATTATACCTAACAAATCAAACAAATAGTACCCCCCAGGTATTTAAGATAAAATAAAAAATAACAATCATTTTTTGTTCATAAATAATAAATAAAGCAATTATGTTTTATTTTTAGAGTCACAAATAACGTTATTGCCGAACAAAAAGCCTAACAGCCAAAAAGGCTAGCAACAACAACTTTAACTAAGTTAATAATATTATGTATTGAGTGATTGTTGTTTTACGTCGAAAGCATAGTTCACTTATCTTGTATCTAATTTTAGAATATACTAAAATTGGCACCAACGCACAAAATGAAAAGTGTTTGAATGAAATGTTTTTTATAAACAGAGAAAACATTTTTAACTTTGATTTATACAGTGAAAATGTATATAAACCATAATCAAAGAAATTTTCCATTCGGATACTATATCTATATGTTACATGCATGTCTGTAAGAGCAAAGCCGGCACGTTACAAAACGAAATGGAAATTAATAGATTGCGCTCAAACATTTCTATTCAAAAAACACCTAAGAAATGTTCGCAGTTGAACTGTTAGCGTAAATAATGTAAAAAACAGGTAAATTAAGTAAGCCAAACCCAATGAATACATACGATGCATTCAATGTGAGTGATATAATACTCGTCCATGGTCGATAGCGTCGGCAACATCTGTACAAACTTCAGTTATAGGTTTATCGATTTGTGACAAGTTCGATGATTTGTTTTTGACACTGATTGAAACTGTTGTATCGATTTAAATTAACCGCGTTTAGTAATAAAATACAACACCAACAAGCACGAACACATCATAAAAGAATCTTGCCTACAACACATCATCAGCTGTGATAAACAAAAGCCACAGTGATGCAGATTACCCCCAAAGTAGGTGTACCAAGGGTGCAATGTTACAGTAATATTGTACAATATGTATATTATTGACGAAATAACTCACCCACCACCCACCAGAGGGCAGGCGATCTGCAAAGTCCTACTACAGTAATAACAACAACAAAATTGTACTACAGCTCAAAATTAATATGAAATGTAATTACACTATGTGTTTTCGTATAAATTAAAAAAGCAAAAAAACCTCTTTGATAATAATAATATTAACAACAATTTAACAGTAACGATCGTTTTATTAAACAGGAAAAAAACTATGTAATATTTTTATGATACATCAGATACCTTTGTTGTGAAAACGCCTTACACCTTCTATGTTTTTGAAGAAACAAACAAACGAGTCGTAAAAGGTAAGTTTATTATGTCGTCCCAAGATCCGAGCATCTTGGAAAAAGTTTAAAACAAACCCATTTGTTTCTAATGTTTTATTGATCTACTAATGTTATTGTCGTCGTGCGGGCATTAATTCGGTAATTAACATTATTTCCATTTACACTCCTTTAAAAAAAAAAAACTTATCGATACCCAAAGAGTTGAAATAATTTAAAACTAATTTACCGTCATCAGCGCTCACAAAAGATTCTGAACATATATTCTGGTGTCAATCCTACTTGTGCACCCATATGACCACGCCCACCTATGATGTTTCGCTGGAGCAGTAAATGCTACTGTCCACTTATCATTTATATTATTATGGGTTAGGGTTAGAAAAATAATACAAATTAATAAACCAACACGCATATCCCGCTGTGGAACTCATTTTTTTTATAATTTAAAAAAACGGTCATAATATAATAATGTATTATTAATTATACGCATCCCTATCAAACATACAAGTATAAAACTACTTAATAATTTAAATAGTTCTAAGCAATTTAATTTTAAATGAAAATTTGGCAATTGAAATGGTAAAAATTAGAAATAATTTGTAACTCGGGATTTAAGTCAATTATTGTAAAGTTCGACATTCGATCGTGTTGTTATTCGAAGAATATAATTTACAAATTTATCCCTAGCCTTGTAATAAGCTTTCGATTACAATAGTAAAATGTAGTATTTGAGAAATAACACAATACAAAATGATCTAAATACAAATATTATAAAATTAATTTGCATATTTAGTATCTACAGTTTATAATATGTTAGTATGACTTCTAGAATTAATATCTATTATTTACTTAAGTATTTGAATACCAGTACGAGAACATTTTTACTCAAAATACTTTTTGACATTTAATCAACTCAAAATTTAGCAATAGTTATCTAATTATTGAAAGTACAGCCTTTTTAAGTATTTATTTGTTGTCAACAGTAGAACGAAATACAGTTATAAAAATTATTTTTGTACCTATTCAGACTACCTAGTAGCTAACTGATATTCTACTGTAAAACAATTTTGTTAGATGCCTTAAATGTTTTTTTTTTAAACCTATTTCTAAATTGTTTCAAAACTTTTGCATTGGACAGTCGTCATCAAAATAAACCTAATTTTAGTCTCATCGACATGTTTGTTACGTTATTAAATATCTATAAAATTAAAATATTTTTTTTAGAGAACACACACACACAAACATATATGAATGTACAAAAAAACAAATATTATTTACACATATATGAGTGTAGGTACCTAGGCAGGTTTGTAAATTTGGCTGTAGATTACACGTACCTCGAAACTCTTGGAAGAGTCTTTGCTGTCGCTGTCGCTGTCTTTGTTCTTGGACGCCTGCCGTTCCTTTTCCTTCTTGATGCAGTTGAATATGCTGTCCAGCTGCGTCTTTTGTTCAAACGAAAACGCCGGATGATTGACGGCCAACGTGTACAACACCATAAGCTCTTCGAACGCGTTTTTGTCGCTGAAGAACGCCCTGGGACTCTTGAATACGCGCTCCAACGCCTTGTCGTCGGTGAGCGCTTTGTAGATGAGCTCCGAGCACTTGGCGCTGTTGGCGTTCAACACGGACAGATACTTGATGACCGCTGCCCTGACGGTCTTGTCGCATATGCACTTGCGAGCTACTTGGCCGACGTTGGCCGGGTCGTTGGCTTCCAGTTCCAACTTCTTCAATACGTGCACGTCCCTCTTGGACAGGTTATCCAGACAAGTGCCGAGGTATCTCAATTCGATCGGCAGACAGTGGCTCTGGAGTCTGCACATCATCCAAAGCCGTTCGTAGCTCTTAAGTGTTTTGAAGTAAGCAACTACTTCGTCTATACAAACCATTTTCGGGCAACATCACAAATGCGGTCGGGCTACACTACACGGTTCAGCAGCGGCGCGACATCACGATAAGAGCCGATCGAAAGTCCCACAACGGGTGCGCGTGTATTGTGATTTTTTTTTTTTTCCTTATTTCGTTACAGGTAGTTACGGGTAGGTAAGGTACCGGGCGATAAATAACGGCAAAACGACGACGACGAGAAGGCAACGGCCGCTGTAATAATTATTACTATATATTATGCCTACACAGTACACACACACACGGTATGATTGCTGGCCGAGAATATTATGTGTGAGTGTGCACACACGGGAAACTCGCTATGCGGGCTAAAAATAATATAATATAATAAATAATAATAAAAATCGATTAGACCACCACAAAGGCGAACGCTCGGCGACTAGGGACGGCCGGATAGGTCGGCGGCGAGAACAAAAGCCCCCAGAGAATGAAAAAAAAAAACAAAATAGAAGAAGAAGAATCGCGCGCGTGTACGCGTTAACCCCTCCGGAGCGGACGCACGACGGACGATACACAATTGCCCGGCGAGAAGGGAGAATTATTATTATTATTGTTATATTTTTATTACTATATATTATATTTTACTACAGCTGCTGCTGCTGCTGCCTGCTGTCCGAGTCCGATCCGATCGATCCGAAATATAATAATATAATATCACGTTGAACACAAAGCCGAGTGATTAGCGGCGACGATCAAAATTCCCGGGGACGATAGCATGGTGTTTTTAGGAGGGGGACAAAAACGTCAACCGATCCCCTAGAGACAGCCGCATTTTCACCTCCTCCTTCTCCTATTTTTCGAATATCGCCACGGTAAAGATTAATAATAATATTTTAGTCTGTTGAATTAATTCGGTCTACCCAGCTGCTGTGTACACAATATATTATTTATTATTTTAGTCGCGATGTTACAATAATGATATAATTTTTTTTTGGTTTTCCAACGCGGTACAAGGGTAAGCCGGCCGCTCGGATGTCGTCCATTGTGGCAGCGCCGTCCCGTTAGAAATACACGGCCGCCCGACGGCCATTTCGCGGTGGACGCCGACCGCGGACGTACCTGTGGATCTTTTGCCGCGGGCTCGCCTACTGATAACGGCGACGCTGATAACAAAAACGGTCGGCCGGCTAAGAAGTTCGCCCGACCGTCACGATGTGTCTGAGAAGTATAAGACTTGTTTGACGGCTGTACGTTGGAAACAATGGTCCGGCACGACTTCTTGAGATTGGTCGGCTCGTGTTACCCGCACAAACGCCGGTTCAGTTTCTACACCGTCGACCGGGTGCGGAAAAAGCAGACTTCCACCGAGTATTGCATGGATTTAGTCAGGTAACCGGGCAAAAAGCTTATAGTGAAGTTTTATCGACCTAACGCTGAAACGGTCAAATGACGGCGGTGTCCTTGCTTCTATCGAGGCGCAGTATGGTCGTCGTGGTCTTAAGTTAATTATCTTACACTCCAGAGGCGTTAGATTGTGCTTCGTATCTAGGATTCGCTTCAAAACAACCGACACGGCACTGAACGCTTTTGATATGTACCATACTACACGCTCAACGATAGGTTGCATCCGAAAGAACAAAACTGTTAACATTCTGTTATAGTACATGTTCTGTTTTGTTCTGATCATTAGAAGTCTTGCGATGCAGACGAAAAATATGCTTGGGGAGAGCTACTTTTGTGTTTATAACGGCCAATATTACAACAACTTGTTATTTAACAAAATAAAATTTACAAAATTTGCCATCAACATCTGACATTGAAAATATTTTAATATTAGTCAAAGAAATGTCGGACGCAATGATGGAAAAAATATATACAAATTACAGAAATGATTCAGTAAATAAGTACTTTTGGGAATTAATTTACGCTTTTAGAGGAATAATTAAACTAAAAAATAGGCTTATTAGGAAATTAGATTTCTGTGTTAATATTTGAGTTTATTGTTGAGAGGTTAAAATTGATGTTTTTGTCCCAATTTCATGTCGCCTACCCTACCGTTAAAGAAATAATTAATATTCCATTTCAAGGAAATTGTCGTACATCTTTCAGAAAACATGATTTCGAAAACTATCTATGCACGTTGTTGCTACCCAAGAAGATTCGAAGAACCGGCGTTGCTGTCCGAGCGTTCAATATCGAGGTGGCCACCATTCAAGATCAAGTTACTGATACAAAAATTGGACAGATGCGATGCAAATTTTGGGAAAATTCTCTAGCTCAAATCTATGAAGATAAAGTTCCTAAACATCCCGTTTTAATAGAACTTTATGTGGTAAGTATTTGCATTGCTTTTTCTATAGTATTTATCTACTAGGTATTACTCTACCAAAAATTATTTCAACAGGCGGCAAAAAGTCATAAGTTAAGTAAAATGTATCTAAAACGGTTGATCACGGCGAGAGAAAGCTTCATGTTGAGCTCTTCGATGAAATCGATCGAACACTTGGAAACTTATGCGGAAAACGTCGTGTCACCTATCAATTACTTGTTCTTAGAAGCGATGGGTATGTGAGTATTTGAAGTTGTTAAACTTGACTTCACCCTAAGTCGTAAACTTATTACATAACGTAATGCTTTTAGATATTAAAAACGTCAACGCAGACCACGCAGTCAGTCATTTGGGAAAGTGTCAAGGGATCGTCAACATTATCAGAAGTTTACCGTACGCTAATAAAATTGGACGCATATCGATGCCACAAGACATTCTGTTGAAGTACAACGTTTCCCACGAAAATATAATACGACAGTCCAACGAACAAAACGTGCGTGACGCTATTTTCGAAGTGGCTTCGAGAGCCAATAGTCATTTAACCAAGGTGACATTTACATTACCAGTTTTTTTCTTTTTTTTAATTTGATTAGGACTAAATTAAAATATAAATGTTCTATGTTCACACAGGCTTGTGCGATCGAAAAGGACTTGGACAAAAACGTGAAATCTATATTTTTACCCGCCGTCGCGCTTGGATCGTATCTTGAAAAACTTAGGAAATCCGATTTCAACGTGTTTGATAGCAAGTTGCAACAGCGTAACAGCTTGTTGCCGATAAAACTTTTGTGGAGAAAATTAATAAGATGATGTTGTTTGTAAGTGTTGAGAAAATCTAGTTTAAATTGTATCGATATCGATTTAGTTATTAAAATATGCAGTTGTTTTTATTAAGCCTTTTTATTTCTTTGGTAAAATTTGTGTTACGTTATCCTACAAAAACTAATAACGCAAGTTATTTTGTTTGTACCACAACTTGAGTCGATCCCAAATTTCATTTCTAGTCTAAATTATATCAAATATATCGTGGACTTGTTCTATTTGGAAAAGACAAACTTAATAACTCGTTTACCGAAAGTGACATTGGCGTTCTTCGACCCGATAAAAAAATTATTACAATTTTCTATAGTATCAGCTGGAAATTAAATTATATCTTTTTTTCATACTAAAACTTTTATAATAAACTTTTGAAACAAATCTAAACAATTAATTATAACGACCGATTGTGTATAATAACCGTCAGTTCTATTTGATATTTTCACTTAACACAACAAGTAAATTAATTTGATAAGTATTTTTGATTATGATCTTTTTCTGCTGTTAACAGTTAAATTACTTTTTTTTTATAAATAATTGTATATAATTTTACTATCACATAAATCTTTTTGTATAATTTTGAGACGGATGAATGATTTTAATAATATGTTTTAATTTGTTTAAAAAATTACACGCTTTGTGTAATGTCAATGTAAACTGTGTCAAAAGTGACGGTCAAATCGGTTGTTACATTTTGTGTAATTAAATTATAATAATTTATAAGTTATTTTACTACAAATTTAATTTTTGTTTATGAAAATTAATTAATTTTTTTTAAAAGTAATTATCTTCTTCTTTTTTTAATTTAAAATAAAAATATTTTAAATTTAACAAAACGCAAAATAAATTAAAGTAAAGTGTTAAAATGTAAAACTTTGGACGGCTTTGGACACCATTAAATTTATTTTTTAAATAAAAATAAAATTTCTAATTTTCATTTTATTAAAGTTAATGTGTAAAATTTGTATTTACTTTATTTATATTAATTATTACAGTTTAGCCAAAATATTTTAGAGATTATTGAAATTGATAGCCATATTTTCATTTAAATTTTGGTTATTAGTGTTTATTATCTTTAAGCAGATACAATTTATTTTATCAATTATTATTATTATTAAAAAAAAAAAAACAATCTGATTTTCTTTAATTCGATAACTTATTTACTTTAAATATTATCGTGCAACAGTAAAAAAGTTAGGCCCTTAGAGACATAATATTTTTGTGAACTCGTAATGTATCTCAACGAATACAAATTAAATCGATACGATCATTTGATAATTTTTAATTGTTGTTTAGTTAAAAAATTTAAATGATCAATTCCAATGTGTTTTTTTTTTGTCAGTATCGTGACAACGGTATAAATAAATTGTTATTATTATTTTTTTAAACTAGTCATGAACACAACACCAGCAATAATAACGATTAACTCATTGAACACGACGACAAACAATGTACAGTGTTGGCCCGATGTGGACGTATGGACAAAACGGTTTTTGGACGCCAAAGTTCTCAAACAAAACTCAACGATGGTGTTCGGCAGGCCTAGACGAGTGCGGCCACCTTTCAATGAGTTTCGCATTGTCAGAAGGTGTTACGGACCGTCCATGACCGTACCGCCAGTGTATAGAGCCGAACAAATGTTTCCCAGCAACGAAGGCATACCGTTCCACACTGAACAGTAGTACGACTTAAACGAGGAAAAAATAATTCAGCTCCAGTCTTGTAAACCATATGCGAGTTTAGTTTTTACTAATTAAATATTAAGTTTCATAAATTTAACTAAAAACGGTTTAAAGAAAAAAACAATACTGTTATAACGATAATACATTGTTCGTTATATTAGATTTAAAGAAATTTCAAGTTGTCATTAAAAATGTATAATTTAATTTTTTTTTTTTTAATTATTTATTTTAGAAACCTAATATAATTGTACCGAAATCTTTAAGTTGATATTTTCAACGAAAAATGTGCATTTTTTCTTAAATTCAATTTCTTAGGCAATTAACGATTTTTTCTTAGAACTTCCTCTCACATAGGTTAGGTTAGATTTAAAAAAATTCAATGTAGTTATAACAACAAACGTAAATAATTCTGTATACAATTTTAGAGTTTATCTGCTCAATAAAATACGATAAATATATCATTAATGGCTAATTGCACCGGCTATCTTAAATTTTAAGTAGAGCAACCTATACTTTCAGTATTGTTTAAATACTCTTAAATTTTAATTGATTCAAAGTGAATTTAGTTTTTCTCGTTTAAGTTTTATTTTAGTTAAAATTTCATTTAATAAAACATTCTATTTTAATATATATTTTTTAAAATAAAAACGGTTATTTTTGAATATTTTCAGTATTAAATTTGTGCTTAAAAAAAATGTTTTTTTAAATATTTTTGACAGTTAAAATAAAAACTTAAATAGTATAATATTTTTCACCGAATCCCCTAAACATAAATAATTTTGAAAAATTGTACTGCGTATATTGTCAGCAATTTTTTATTTATAATAATTATTATTATAAAATAGTATTATTTAAATCAAGTATTATGACATTGAAGTTTTAGTGCGATGGGGTATTATAAAAAATACTAGCCTACGCTTAGAGCAATCAACTGTTTCAGGTTCTTTTTGTTAAATGTCATTCCAGATTTATTAGTTTAGCCAAAAACGCACTTTACCACATCTGTAAACTACGCCATCGCTTTATAAGATAATCTCTTTTCTGCGTCTGTACTTTTATTATTGCCACGTCTACAAACACAATCAATAAGAAAAAATAGAAAAGTAGCTAAAAAGCAAATTTAAGTGAAATATATGTATATTCTAACGGGGAATCTGCTGGACCATCTAACACATCATCAAGGGAACCGTTACTCTGCGGTCAACTGTTCTAAGATATTAGGAATATCAATAACTCTAATTGTGAATAAAAAACTGAATGTGAATAACCATTTTCACGCGACAGTTTGTTTATTTAAATCGATGGCAGTGTGTTCGTCTGTAAAAATAAAAATCTTATCACGTGGTCAACATACCAAAAGTGGCTGTCTTGTCAAACAGATGCGGTTTGCCAAAGACAAACGGTAAACGGTTTTGAATCCCTGGCAAAAAAAACGTCATATGAATTCAAGACTGAGTGCAAGCATTTTTTTTTTTTATTCATTTTGACAAACATTCATCACTGACAAACGAACGAAATTCTACTGGAAGACTCGGCCATGGCGTTTTGTTCCGGTTTGATGGCAAACATTCCATTCGAGATAAACGGGTAAGTCGCTTGTTGAGTTGGCATTCAAGTATAAGTTTGAGTTGGCAACCAAAAATGCATTTAACTAAGCCACGTGGAATGCTGTTGTACAGGATCAAAGTGTCCGGCCCGTGGCAGTGGACTGCGTTTGGTTTGATTGCCGAAGAATGTCTTAGGCTGTTGTCCAAATGGCCTATGATGCAGTACGGAGCCATGGCCATGCTGGCCACGGCCATGGGCATGACGGCTGCCTTAGTGTCCGATGACCTCTGTTTGAAGCTGTTCGATACGCCGGCCTTCATGGTCCGTGACCAACTGGTGTCGATAGCGGTGAACCAGACGGCCAAATTGGCGGGCAGAGGGATCCGGTATTGGTGGCAAGGGTTGACGGAAAACCAACGGAAACGCCACACGAAGACATTGAAGAAGTCGGTACCGTTGTTGGGCATCACGGCAATGGCCGTTTTGGCGGTCACCGTGGGTTTCTACATGCATCACACCGTGGTGGACCCTTACACGAAACGCGCCGTCTTCAGCCTTTGCTCGGACCGCGATATGAAGGACGCAGACGACTGCGCAACCAGATTCGTACTCAAAGAATTCGGCTCGTTGGATTATCACAAGTACGATGTCCACGACGGCAGCCTTGTTGAAGTAATAAACAATACGGTGAGTTTAATCGTTGCGGCCAATCCCGCCGTGGCCGGCCACATCCCTTGGAAAGTGGATTTGGGACAAGCATTTACGCTGCCCCGCGGCTCGATGTTGTTCGGCCGCGACCTGTGGTGGCACACGGACGACCAGATATCCTCTATCGTGGGCCACAAAATGGCTCATTGCATTCGCCGGCACCACACGGTTATGATCAGTCAGCAACGACTTTTCAACGTAACCAAGCTGCTGCCGTTGACCGTGGCCTACGCTTGCACGACTGAATCCGGTGATATTGTCGTGGAACCGATATGCTCGATGGTGTATTCGTTGGCCTTCGAACTGCCTCTCACCGTGAGCAGAGAACTGGAAGCTGACAGGTACGGCCAGGAGCTAATAGCGGCCATCCGATCAGACCAGCCCAACTAACTACTGCATCTACTTTTTTCTTTTTATTAATTATTATTAATCCAGTTTGGATGCACTGAAATTTATTACACTACGATTTGTCCAAACTAATGATAGAGAATTGCCAAAAAATATGATAACCGTATTTATTATTATTTAAAATGTTGTCCCAATAGCTTTGTTGCCTTTATTTTACAGGTTTAATATAATATAAATTGTTTGTACCTTGTTGTTAATTGATAAAATTCTACTTCGAAAGCTTAAGTTCATAGATTTGGACAGTGCATTTATGATGATGTTTTTCAGGAAAGCGGTTTGAAATTTCATTAAACCATCAAACCAAAGGTAGATATTTATAATTCAACAGTCGTAACATCATCAAAAACTACACCCCCAATAGTAAATTGCATGATGCACAGTATATTGATTCTGTGATAATATTACAAGAACACATATTAAAAACAAAATGACGATTGTTACTTTTCAAATTTTATGCATCCAGAAAACCTAAAATGCATTCCATCTGTTCGATTAAATACCATAAATTAATCATTAATGGCGAATTGCACCAACTATACTTAAATTTTAATTAGAGCAACCTATACTTTCGGTAATGTTGAAATACTCTTAAATTTTAATTGTTTCGAAGTGAATTGAATGAAATTTCAATATTAAATTTGCGCTTAAAAAAAAAAACATTAATTAAACGCATTGAAAAGTTATATTTTGTATATTTTGCTTAATGTTGTGTTATTTTTAATCTACGTTCAACATTATTATTATTTTTTTTTTGTCGGAGAGTATTTGTTTCAACTTTAACGTTCATTCTATTATATGATTGACAAAAAACGTGCCCACGGTAAAACATTTTAGCTGCGTTGCAAAGCTTTTGGTTTTATTATAGTGTGGGCTTTTTTTTTTGTGTCTGTATACACTGTAACCTTTTTTTAATACTGGACCAATTCGTTCGAGTAGCAACTCTGTAAATTAAAAAGAGTCGGTCGAGTTGAAATTGATAAGAAATATTCATATGGTATGCCCGCACACGTCAGTTGTATCAAATTTAAATTATATCCATTTCTCACTCCTCTGGGGGGGGGCAGTTTTTTTGTTTTTTAGTCGTAATTTCAAGACCTTTAAGTTGAAAATTCTTCACAACTTTTTTGATTTTTGTCATTTTATTACACATTACACAAAATCCGTTTGCAAAATTACAATATTATATTAAATTATTGTCATAACTATTAATAATTTTGGCTCGGTATCGTAAGACCTGTATTTTTTGGATCACTATTATAATATAAATAACAATTATTTTGATTACCTTTTTTGTCCATTGGAATTCGTTAGTGAGATGTTTAAAAAATAAAAAGTAAAGTAATTTTATCGTTAATTAATTGTGATAATATTTTATGTAAAGTTTACTCAAACGGGTCGGTCTGCTTTACATCTTATTTTTATCACAAAGCATAATAAAAACCATGCAATTCATTTTTTTTTACTTTTTATTATTTTTTTTCAATTCAAAGAAGTATATTATAATTTTTATTAAGCTTTAACATTCAAAGTACATATTATAAAAATATATCCATGATTATATTTTTCAATTCTAGTAATTGAATATCAAACGTGTAGCAGTCGTCAGTTTTTACTTCAACAGGTTGATTTTCATTGAAAGAAAAAACCTAATTATTTGAAAAATGTAAGTTCTGTGAATACTAATTTTAAATTGCAGTAAGCAGGTAAAACGAAATAAAATTATACTCACGTGGTCCAATATTTTGGTAATTTTTATCACTTTTAAATACCAAATTAACCAAATTTCGGCTACCGGACAATTAACAGTTAATCACCATAATAATAATAATATTATATTGTTCGTCAAACGATAAAAAACAATACTGTGGTAAGAACACTTATATATCATCAATACTTGGCACGAAATTGTCATAAGTGCACTTAACACACACAGTTTTTAAAACCAAAATGAGCAAAGATATTACAAGTGTGTTTAACACATTTTGTTTTGACACAATAATTATTTGTGTCCGTACACACACACCACTAATTTTAATGCTATCTAGTGGACTAAATATTAGGTGTTCACTTAATCACATTTGTACCAAATACTGTTCACCGTGATTTGTGTGGTTAACACAATTATGCACTAAACTCATTTTTACCAAAAATGCACCTGTCGCAGTTGTGAACTAAGCCATCGATTTTTAAGATAATCTCTTCTCTGTGTCTGTACTTTTATTATTGACATACATACAGACCAAATTTATAAGGAAAAGTAGACAAATAGCTAAAAGAAAAATTTTAGATAAAAAATATATTCTAAAGAGGAATCTCCTGGGCGCATAGAACACATCATCAAGGGAACTGTCACTCTGTGCGATCGCTGTTCTAAGAAACTAGGAATACTAAAATCACCAATTGTGAATAACCATTTGTACGTGATCCTCTGTTTATTTAAACTGATATCGGTCATAATGGTCGATGCCAGTGTTCTCTTGTGTAAATAAAAAATGTCGCCATGTGGTCAACATACCGAAAGTGGCTGTCTTGTCAAACAGATGCGGCTGGCCAAACACAAACGGTAAACGGTTTTGAATCCCTGGCAAAAAAACCGCATATGATTGCAAGACTGAGTGCAAGCATTTTTTTTTTATTCATTTTGACAAACATTCATCACTGACAAACGAACGAAATTCAACTGGAAGACTCGGCCATGGCGTTTTGTTCCGGTTTGATGGCAAACATTCCATTTGAGATAAACGGGTAAGTCGCTCGTTGAGTTGACATTCAAGTATAAGTTTGAGTTGGCAACCAAAAATGCAATTAACTAAGCCACGTGGAATGCTGTTGTACAGGATCAAAGTGTCCGGCCCGTGGCAGTGGACTGCGTTTGAGTTGATTGCCGAAGAATGTCTTAAGCTGTTTGCCAAAAAGTCTATGATGCAGAACGGAGCCATGGCCATCCTGGCCACGGCCACGGGCGTGACGGCTACCTTAGCGTCCGACGACACCTGTTCGGAGCTGTTCGGTATGCCGGCCTTCATAATCCGAAACCAACTATTGTCGATAGCGATACACCAGACGGCCAAATTGGCGGGCAGAGGGATCCGGTGTTGGTGGCAATGGTTGACGGAAAACCAACGGGCACGAATTATGAAGGCATTGAAGGTCTGGTCACCGTGGTCGTGCTATGCCGCAGTATGCGCTTTGGCGGCTACCGTTGATTTCTACGAGCGTCACACCGTGGAAGACCCTCGCACGGGACGCGCCACCTTTAGCCTTTGCTCCGACCGCGATATGAAGGCAACAGGCGATTTCGCAGCCAGATTCTTACGAAGAAGATTCGGCTCGTCGGTTTATCCCAAACACGGCTTTCACGACAGACTCGTTAAGGTAATAAACAACATGGTGAGTTTAATCGTCGCGGCCAATCCCACCGTGGCCGGCCACATCCCTTGGAAGGTGTGCGTCGCGGACACGCCGTACGTCGTACAAGCACTCGCGCTGCCCCACGGCTCGATGTGGTTCGGCCGCGACCTAATGTCGAACATGGCGGAGAACGTAGGCCAGATGTCATTTGTCGTGGCCCACGAAATGGCTCATTGCATTCTGCGGCACCACGCGGAGATGATCAGTCAAGAAAAATTGTTCAATTTAGCCAAACTGCTGCCGTTGACCGTGGCCTACGCTTGCACGCCCGAATGGGCCGAGGGAGTCGTGGACTTGGTGTCCTGGACGGTGTATATGTTTGCCTTCAAACTGCCTCTTATGAGGAGCAAAGAACTGGAAGCTGACCGGTACGGCCAGGAGCTAATGGCGGCCAGTTGGGTGGACCATAATCAGGCGTTCGATGTGTTTGCTAAATTCTCCGAGGAGGAGTCAGTGGTGGATCGGTATTTATGGTGGAATTACCCGTATCCACTAAGTGACGTCCGCAGCCGGCACTTAACCGAGCACAAGGCACATGCTGATCAGATCAGTAAAGTCAATCGCTACAAAAACTTTTTATATTTTTTTAAATATATTTTTACTATTAATGCACACTACGATTTGTTCAAATGAACGATTGTAAATTTCCAAAAAATAGGATAACCGTATATATTATGATTTTGTCGCAATAACTTTGTTGCCTTTATTGTACCGCTTTAATATAGTAATATGGATTTTTGTAATTGTTTGTACCTTGTTGTTAGCTAATAAATTCTATTTCAATGTCTTAAGTTTACATATGATATTTTTTAGGAAAGCAGTTTGAAAGTTCATCAAACTATTTTCATTACTATAGTCCTCGGTGAAACAATAATTTAAAGAAAAAACAGTTTTTTTTGGTTTCTCAACATTCGATATTTTTTGATATTTTCATGTCTTAGCTCTGGCACATAACTGAAAAATTTATAACGAAAAAAGCGTTATCACACAGAGGTGGGGTTGGGGGTGGGAATGGGGATAGGATAGGGATGAAGATGAGGTTGGGGTGGGAGATAAGGGGTGAGAGATAGGGGTAGGAGATAGGGGTAGGATATTAGGGTAAGATATAGGAGATAAGAGATATGATGTACGTTTAACGTTCAAATTAGAACTAAATGATAAATTCAAAATAGTTTAAGGGCCCAAATTCTCTATGAATTGTTTAAGCCAGATATTAAACACTACAATATTAGACAGAAACTTGATGTTTTAATATACTAGCTTGTTACTGCTTCTTAATATACTATATCATTATCTATAATTCCACCACAACTCTAAATTTGTTCGGTACTTCAACGAGACATGAAAAATGCTCTTTCGTGGTAGCAGACTCGGCTGAAAAACTTTTTTTTATATTTCCTTCCTTCGAATAATCGATTCATAAGTTAAAAACTAAAAACGTTTGAAAAAAAACACAATACTATTATAACGATAATACATTACAGATTTAAATTAAACTTAATGATATATATATTTTGTTAAATGTATTAGGTACTGTATCTTTTGTTTATAAAGACCAATCTTGTTTTGCG